ATCAGAGAAAACAGGCCAAGGTATTCATCAACATCAATAAAGCTTTATAACAGTTCAATTCATTTCCATTGTTTGGATTAATATTGTAGTAATTACACACTTTGTACATTATGAAAATAAGTCATAAATAGTGTAAAAATAATTTTGAAGATCAACTTCTCACAAACTAGGAACCCTGTAAACAAGTTACAAAAGCAAATAAAGACAAATGAGAAACTGAGCATAATGCAATTATCTTCAAACTGCAAATTGAAAACCACACGCTTCTTTTGATTCAGCAATGTCAGCAGAAGAAATTAAAATGAAACTGAAATAAGAAATCAAACAGAGAGAATTCAATCTTTCAATTATTTACACTGCTGAGAAAAACAGGTTTGTTCCATATTTACAGTGATAACACATAACACATTCTTAGAATAATCAATTACATGAGACTGGCCCACAAAATATTAAGAAAAATATGCAGTGTAATGCTTGCCAAAATATGTTTTCTGCATTTTCCTTTTATTTTGTATTCATGTGATTTTTTTTGGCAATATAAAAATAGCTGCACATAGAGATGAACTTTAACATGTAAAAAATACAAATAAAAATATAATATTTTCTAAAGGAAAATCAGATACATACATCTTTTAAAAATGTTATTAAGTTGCATGAAACATTTACAACAGCATAAAGAACATCCACATAAATGTCAATAATAAGACATTCTTTTGTGAATCCAATTTATCAACCGCATTTTGAGAAATGATGGTAATTTATTAAGTTATCAATAAATCATAACTGATCAGGTTGAAAAGTCTTCCTATTCCCAAAAGGACAGTTCTGTCAAGAAGCAGCACAGGAAATCTTATGCATTTAAATACAAGAAAAAATCAGGCATGCCATTAAAATGTTTCAGTATTGTATTAATAAAAATTAAACCCACTAAAAATTTAAATTTATGGCATATAGTAAATCTAGTCAATGTGAAGTTATTCAACAAAAGTAGAGGTATACACAGAAGGCTGACAAAATCATCATTGGTCAATTATGTTAATTCCATTAGGAATGAATAATTTTAACAGCCAGAATCAAACACAGGTAATTATTATTTATGAGAATATATGAATACGTTGTTATGGTCTTGACTTTCTGGAGATAGCAGGGATTTTGTGTTTTGTTTTGATATAACTTGAAAAAGTTTACTTTTGGTACTGTAATTATTGATATTACTTGATTATCAAGAAATAGGAAAGATGCCAATATTGGCATATTTCTACAATTACATCATTCACCATGCAAACATAACTGACTTCTGAGAAAAATCATACAGAGGGCCAAGAAAAGATGAAAAATAGTATTAACATTTTATGCTACAATAGTAATATTAAAAAAATTTAAACCTTGGAAAATTAAGTACATTTCCCAAGTGATAAAAATATAAGCTACCAAAGACAACTTTTCCATAGCTACTGACATGCTGATCTGATCACTTTCCAAACCAGAAAAGGACATGCAGGATGAACTCCTAGATGCATACTGGTAAGTTCTTGCTGTCCCTTTAGAACATCATGCACAGGAAGTAAATTGAAGAACGAACATTTTTTGGGAGATGGAAATTCAAGATATTCTCAAGTTTTATATAAAATCAAATAAAAAAGAAAAACTCTCCAAGACTGCTTTTCATAATGAAAATAAAAACTAGAAGAAAAATTTAGGCATATTTGTGCATCAGGTATGCTATGAATGTATGCAGACATCTAATTCTGGTTTTGCCACACTTAATCAAATTATGTCAGTTAAAAGATGAGAATGAAAGTTGATCAAAGGCATACAGCGTATGACAAGAACATGTAAAAAGAGGATCCATGATCCAAGTAAGGACATATCATCCAGAGCTTATACTGTTTTGTTTTCTTTTACATTTCAAAAAGACTAGTCATTGAACCATAATTACAACAAATTCATGAACATGAAAAAATAAAACCACACACTAACAGTTTAGGAATGCTATTAAACTGGGAAATGAAATCTATAGTATTGTTTCACCGTCCACAAAGAAAAAGAAATACATCAGCACCATCATGAATGAAAAACAATTTTAAAGCTAAAACACATACCAATTTAGTATCCTTAAAAGGTGCTTATCGGAAATAGAACCTGATTTTGACTTATTTCCATTGTGTCTTTTAGGGGTTTATCTCAATCCTCTATTCAATAATATAAATTAAAAAAAAGAAATCTTTAAGAAAAATATGTATCTGCCAACACAATTTATTAGTTCATTTGGCAATTATTTGATGATGAAATGAATGGTTGAAAATATTTTAGGAACCAGAAATTTAACATTATCCATAGTGGTTAAGACCTAGTAATTCCACTGAACAAAGAGAAGTGCTATCATCCCTTTGTTTGTCTAAAGGAAATAAATGTAATGGTAGTTAATTTTATTCCTTAATCATGGAATAAAAGTCAATGTTGTAAAAACAGAGCAAAAACCCAATATACACATAGGACAGAACAATATTCTTAAGGGCTGTATTTAAAAAAATTTTGTACATAAAATGATTATCTTTTGAGGTATTCTCTTTAGCTGTGCAAGTTTTAAATAGTGATCCATCTTGATACCTGTTTTTACTAAAGGAGTAAGAAAGATACATAGAATGAAATATAGCCACCAGATTTTTCTCAAGACACTACTGTTTGGTTTCCTGAAAATACTGTAGTTCTACCCGCTTTAGTTCATTTTCCCAATCTATTTAAGACAAGTCGTTTCAGACATTGAACGATAATACCTCATCCTGATCATGTCATAGAAGAGCTCATTAGAAAAATGCCCTCTATTGTTTTAAAAAAAATGCCAAATTGGCTTCAGAGTGTGGAATGTTACTAGAAATGTGACCAATTAGGTGGGTGTAATAGTTTGAACATCTTTTCAATCTTGAAAACTTAATGGAAATAAAAAGAAGACAATGTGATAATTGAGCATTTGGTTACAAAATATGAAAGAGATCATAAGGACCTTAGGGTCCTTGTCTTATAATCATATCTTAATTTCTGTCAGCCCAAGTCAATGATGAATTAGGTTCCCCTCTGGTGGTAACAACCTACGCATGAAGCTCGAAAATTTCCCACAAAATGGTGTTGAGCCCAGAGAAAAATTATATTGCCCCATAAGCTAAAAGTGATTATTCCTCATTGATGATGTTTCTCCTAATGGAACTCTTCCATGTAGAACAAGCCATTTCAAAACACGCTACCAACCCTTTACTGTGCAAAGAAATGCTCAGTCTAATACAGCTAGGTAACTTTTGAGCAAGAAGATGAAAAAATACTCTTAATGGAAACTAGACGGCAACTATGTTTCACAGCTTTCTGAGATCTCAGATTTGGTCTGTGCATAAGAAATGTAAAAAAAAAAAAAGATAAAGAAATCTAAATATGAACAAAACTTATATCTAAGTAGAACTATAAAAATATAGAAATGAGTTAATACTATCAAATATGACCAAATCTTGACTTTATCTTAAGTGATAATCACTATGTATGTTATATTTTTCATATGAAAAAAAAAATGTCAAAAAGTACTGAAAAAAATTTCTTAACTTTGATACTTTACAATGACTGAACTGAAAGTGGAGCTTCTTTTCCATTCTCTTCAATTATTCATAACGAGAAAGAAAGTTAGTAAAACGTTATCTTGATTATTGGTTCCGTTATTAGAGTTTGAAGACTTTTCTTTTTTGAAAAAAAGTTCAAACAAATATGACAAAAGAGTCTCAGCTTAGTATTCCTTGGAGGAAAAAAAAGAAAGACAAGAAAAAGTATTTAAAAGAGCTGGAAACATGTTCTGTTCCTAGAACTTTGTAGAAAATGTTTGAAATGAGTTTGATTTGGGAGAGAACGGAGGCTCTCGCATCAGCTTCAGCAGAGACTGTGGAGTGAGCCCCCTTCAGGAAGTGTGATCTCTTCAGCAACCTGAGCTTTGTCGGGAGGGACACACCCTTTCCTAAGAATCAGAGGCTGCCATTCAAGGATCTTCTACGCCAAAGAAGAGCTGTATGTCTCTGTCATTTTTCCAAAAGCACCCATACTAACACCTGCTGGAAGTCAGTTTATCAGAAGAAAAGGTTTGCTGTTCTGGGCGCCTGCACTCCTACACCTCTTTCCTGCTTGGTCACAGGAGAGGCAGCGCAGGGTACTGAACTGGTCCTCTTTCCTGTCTTCACTGCCAAGGGCAGCCCAAGGAAAACGAGCGGCACAACCAGCTCAGCCCCTTGCTATTTCAACCAAGGTGGCCACGGGAGCCCACAATGCTGGACGCTGTAGATCAGCAGCTGGGACTGCAACGCCCTCAAAATACAAGACCACTTGTGTGTGTGCTCTCCACCACTTTATCTCTTTTTGGCAATAAGCCATGGTGTAACCCCCTTGAGATGACAAAAGAAAGAGAAGCTCAGATGTGACGGAAGGACTCATCAGGAGGCATGCTAGCATCTGAAGGTGCACAACAACAGGCAGGTCTGGCAGGGACATGCTTTTTTAGTCAGTTTCAACTGGTGGTGTGAACTCCGTGCTAATAGCGAAGGTGAGTAGGAATGTGACGATAAACGCTAACATTGGTCAGTATGGTTCATTTTCATAGTTTTGAGTCCATATTTGGTCACAATTTTATGTAAACTATTTCATGGCCCCTTTTGTCCATGCAAGTAGCAAGCCCAAAGTAAGAAAATAACAAGAACAATCATTCTCTATCACTGATATGTCCATATAAATAGGCATCTTTACATAAGATAAAGAAATACTGATCTATAGTTTTCTTCAGGCTTCTCACTAGTTTCACATGTTGCCCAATTTTGGATGTAAGCGAAGAAAAGATGGACACGTGTACTACTGCAAACAGGAAGAAGCAGCTATATGTAAACATATCTCAGACTTATAAAATCTGCAATTCAATTCTCAACTATAAATATAAAGAGTGGACCACTATATACACAACTTCATGCTCGTTAGTTTCATCACTGCAGAAAAACAAACAACAAAAAAGACAAATATATAAAATTAGTGGTCTGGGTAAAAATTCCAAATTGACATTCATCTTAAGAAAACTGGTAGAACCCTGAATAGAGTTGTTGTTCGTCAATCAACGAGCCAATCAATACGGTTCTTACAACATGACTTTTCTAAAACTCCAGTGTTATCAAAATTTCCACCCTAGATTCAACCCTCATTTTTCCTTTTGCTGCAGAGAAGTTTCTGGAAGTGTTTGTTTCAGTAACTATTCTGGGAAAGCAGAAAGTTAGGATTTTTAGCATACAGGTGCCATAGGTAAAATACATGTCCTGTTTACAACGTACCTAACCTCTCCACGCATTAAGACACACTGTGGGAAAGGCTGAGGATTCTAACCACAGTGGCATGACTTACTTCAACATCAGACCCTTCCTGTTTCCTCTTTCCTTTTGTTAGTCCTGCCCTGCTGCGGATGATGGGCAAGGTACACAGCCTGCTAGCAGGCCTTTAAGCTGTATTACAGGTTCCACTGTGATCTAAGGTATCATAAATCTCTGGTTCCTCATTCTGAACAGTCATAGTTATTAAGGTTTTCCTAGAACTAAAGTTAAGTCTGAGAGAACTGAGGGCCAATCATCTTTGAAGCATAAACTTATACAGATGATCTTGGAGATGGTGACTTTTACTCAAAAATAAAAGTCAATGAGAAAAGTAAAAATTCCAGTTCGTTAATGAAAAACTTTTGTTTCTCTCTCTCCAAGAAAAAATAAATGCTACATTAGATATGCTTACGAGAGGCTGGGAACTTTGTGATCTTTAGAGATGGAGTTCACTCCATGTTTATGCATGTTGTGTCCATGCCAGAGGATATGGCCAGTGTGGGTCAGTGGTTGAGCATCAGCCCATGAACCAAGTCAGGGTTCGATTCCCAGTCAAGGCACATGCCCAGGTTGCATGCTCCATCCCCAGTAGGGGAATTCAGGAGGCATCAATGATTCTTATCACTGATGTTTCTATTTCTCTCTCCCTCTCCCTTCCTCTCTGAAATCAATAAAAAAACATAAAAAAAAATAAGGTGTGTTTTTTGTTTTTGTTTTTTTTAAACATGAAAAAATAAGCTTTAATAAGTCATTAAAAATACGAAAGCTATAAGTATTTTTTTGATTAAGTAGTTTTAAAAATATATATTTAATTGATTTTTTACAAAGAGGAAGGGAGAGGGATAGAGGTTAGAAACATCCATGAGAGATAAACATGGATCAGCCTCCTCCTGCACACCTCCTTGACCGGAATCGAACCTGGGACCCTTCAGTCTGCAGGCTGATGCTCTATCCACTGAGCCAAACTGGTTAGGGCTGATTAAAGAGTTTTAATCTCCAGATGGGGATGGATACAACTTTAATAGTCTGTAAGTATTTTCTTAACCATAAATGCTGCCATTTACTCACTGTATTAATTATACTGTGAATTGGTACATCATTACTCTTCAAAATTCAAAAACTGAACTGTATATAAAAGGAAAAGTCATTTAAACAAAGATCAAATAATTTTTCATTAAAAAATTATTAGAGAGCAGCATAACCAAAGGGACTTGCTCATTAATCAAAGTAATTTACGTGGCCGTCTCAATCTGAATTTTCAAACATTTACCACTATGCTCCGGAGGCTAATAATAATGTTTAAAAGGAGGATCCACATAAAACAGGACTAAATAAGAAATCTACTGTACTTCTTTGAAAAATATTTTAAAAATAATTTGATTTGACTAAGTGTATTTCAGATAGCTAGATAGCTAAACTGACCACATAAGAGATTTTAGAATATTCAATTTTTTCTAATTGTTTCTACTTTTTGGGGAGGAGGGTGTTGAGAGAGGTTGATTCCAATGATTTGTTTTTGTGTGTTTTGAGAGTGTGATAAGCAATACTGAGTTTTATCATTGAATTATTATTATCTTTTATATAAAAAGATGCAAGATTTAAGAAATCCTTGATCTTATGTAGACCATGGTATCTATTTTGTGAAAAAAAATTAGTACTTAAAAGGGAAATATCTGATTTTCTGATGCCAGACATATTACTATTAGGATTGGCCATTTTATGAACTAAAAATGATGAGTGCTTTGTTTGTTGCCATTATTATGACCTCACAGGAAGGAAGTGATTTAGAAGCAGCTGAAAATAATATGAACCAAGTTCTGAGTAGTGTTAGAAGGCTGGTAAAATAAGCCTTTCACATCCACCTAGATATCAGTTGTGCCAATGTATTAAAAAACCATTATAATATTGGATTACAGGTCAAAGAGCACATGGTCATGCCAGCTCAGGATGTATTAAACATTCCGAGAGCAGGGGTAATGAGGGTGAAAGGATCCTTTTCTCAGGTGAAGAAGAACATGACGAGAGGCCCATCTTCCTGAGAACCACGTGACCTCAGGTGTGATTGAGATAATTATCTGGCAGCTGAAAGTGGAGTTTGGGAAGCTACTAAATAAATGACGCTGCCGAGAAAGAAGGAAGGTGTTTCTTTCCCTGGTCAAGTGGGGTGAGAGTGGTCAAGCAAGAGAGTAAGTTACACAGGATCTCACCAACGCAGGTGATGAGCTAAGACGAAACCAGGACAGTTAAGTTTCTCTTCATCTTTCTGCAATCCTACATAGTTTTACATAACTTTGCCAGTGAAACATGCCTGTCAAAAATAACTGAATAAACCACAAGGTTTTAGAAGAAAAAAAAATGATCAAAGCAGCATGGATGCTTCCTTCTGGCTTATTTTACATCAGTGGAGCTCCTTCATCCTTCAGCAGCATGCATGCACAGTCTTGTACAGGTTCCCATATTATTGTGTATAGGCTTGGTACTCCCTCAGCACAGCAGGGACACAGCTTTTCCCTGCTTAAGGTCCTGCCATTGCTTCCCATCTTCTGCTTCTAGGTCTGTTACTTACTAGCTCTGTGCTTTGGAAGTTACTTATCCTCTGTGAGTTCAGCTTTCCCATCGGAATCATTGAGGATAACACCTTAGGGCAGTGGTTGGCAAGCTCATTAGTCAATGGAGCCAAATATCAACAGTACAACAATTGAAATTTCTTTTTAGAGCCAAATTTTTAAAACTTAACCTTATTCTAATGCCACTTCTTCAAAATAGACTCACCCAGGCCATGGTATTTTGTGGAAGAGCCACACTCAAGGAGCCAAAGAGCCATATGTGGCTCGTGAGTTTGCTGACCACTGCCCTAGAGGGTTATTGTGACAATTAAATAAAATGATACCCCTCATATAAAAGGGCTTGTCACATAGAAGGCTCTCTGTTAGGATAAGTTCCTTTTCCTACACAATGGCTATAGGTAGCTTTATGAGGAGGATAGAATAAACTAGTACAAAGGACAGCAACTTAAATATAACCAGAATCTCCTAAGTAACTCAAGACATCACTGAAGAAAAAAGGTCATGCTTAATTTTCTGCTTTCTCAGCGTTGTGACTAATATTGACAGGGTTCTACCATGTATTTGCATGTTTACTTAAGTAACTGAGTATAAACAGAAAAACAATCACAATCAAGAGTAGTTTGAAACATTGGGAATACAAGGAGGTCATTGAGAGACGAGCAAACCATGACGGAGATCCACTGCCTGCCCCTTTCCATCCAAAGCAAGGACTTTTGGATGGAAATGCCCCAATCACAACATTTGTTAGGAATTGTTTTCACTCCTCAGTTCAGGAAGAAATCAGCAGTAAAAATAACAATGGAAAGGTATCTTTTTTTTTTTTGAATAGCCAAACAACTTTTAGCAATGCCAAATTCAAAAGGTCTGCTCTAAATGGAAAAGGCTAGGCCAGGTGAAGAGAAAGGCGGAGTGCTTCTTTTAGAAATAATTCCATAAGCCCTACCTTTTGCCAACAGCCAGGCATGGGCAATCCGTCTGGACCCTGTTTTAATGAGAAGAATAAGAATTCCTAAGGTTTCACAAAAGTGATCACACTTTATGATTCACATGCTCAGTGGCTTAAAAGATGGATTTCTACTCTTTTATTCATAGGCATATTTTTCTAATTATTAACCATTAACCACCAACATAATACCTAATGTTAATTAAAATGAAGAAAATTCCACTTTTTTTTTTTTTTTTTTTTTTAGGGAGAGTAGACATTTTGAAAATACATAAAGTATAAGAAAATACGCCTAATTTTGAAAAAGCAATTTACAAAGCATAGTGGTCTACTCAGTTCTACCTTGGGATAACAAATATGTACTATTCCTCCTAATTTCATTTACATATATTTCACAATTATCTTTATTAAGTAAACTGAAATAACCTCACTTCCTAGTCACTATCGTCTATGGTTGAATGCATGATAATGATGAACAATCAATGATGAACCATTTCTATCTGAAGTTTATAGCTATTCAGAGGCTATTTTTCACTTTTCTATATTGAAAGCAGATATATTGGAATATATTTCATCAACCAAATTAAAACATAGACAGCTTATTTATATCTTTACAGTAGAATATTATTCATAGAATTAATCAACTTTTCTACTGAAACTTTTTAGAAGCCAGTTAACAAATTCTGAATAAATCTGGGATTCCTAAATGCTGCAGAATTTACTTAAAGTGTGAACACTCTTCAGATACAAATGATATAAAATAAAGCAGGGAGAGTTGGGATGTAATGAGGCATGCTTATGTTTCCACCCAACAAAATGATTGTAAAGTATTATTTATTATCATTACCAAAATAAAAGATTGGGCACTTTACATTGATATTTTCTAATTGTAATAATGAACTGAACACAATTTTTTTCTATAAATGCAATCTCTTAAAGGGCTTGAGAAACAAAGTTATCTTTATAGAAACATGCTTATCATTAAAAAACAATATAAGAACATGCAGACAAATATTACCATCAACATTATCATAAAATGTTTTCCTTTACACCTCAGAAAATATAAATATACTTTTTAAAACAATGTAAAACAACAACAACAACAATCCCTCTTTTGAAATAGCTTTATAAGATATTTGGGGAAAATTCGGTACTGCCAGATTGGTACAAGGAGAAGGATCACCCAGTAGAATTTTAGATTTTAGTAGAAGGAGGATTTTGGGTTCATGCCAATGGAGATAAGGGAGTTCTGTCTACTTTAGCAAAGTGAGTTTCAAAAGGAGAGACCATTAAATCCAAAGGTTATGTGACAAAGAGGAGAGCGTGGGCTGTAGACTGTTATCTTTAGAAGCTCAAAGAAGCTTGGTTTACTTCCCTACAGTCTCTTCACAGCATTCCCTAGAAATGGCTACTCCTGACCACAGAGGCTTCACTCTGTAGGTTCGGCCTTACAGCCAGACAGAAATTTAGTGGAAAGAGGCAAAAATGCCTTTATTTCCTTTAGAGAAAAAGAAAAAAAAAGTTCAATTTAGGGGTAAAACCCAAAGTTATGGGCCTTTACATAGAAGCCTTTCATGTAATGTCAATGTAATCTTTAACTATTTATTGACTAAACTAATATCCCCCAGAAGGCAGTCCCGGTTCATGCCAGTTGTGAGAACGTTAGGAGATTAGTGATCAGTCATTAGTAGACATGCATGCTCGCTCCCTTCACTCTGCAGAGTCGCGGAAGGAGCCATTCATGCACATGCAAGTAGTGTTTTATCATGTAAAGCTTGGTCCAGAAGCACCACTTTACACCCATAGAGATGAATATGTAATAAACAAAGGAACTGCATGCAGGATGGTAGGAAAGAGAGATACTGTACCAATTGGCAAGGGGCATCCAGCCCATCCAGGCCAGGCTGGCCTGGCTCCCCTTTTTCCCCCTTAATGCCACGGAATCCCTGTTTGTAAAGATTAACTCATAACGTTACTAACAAGAAATCACTTAGGCACAAATTCTGCTACAGAAACAACCACAATAAGAAGATGCTGGGAGAAGAGCAATTCTGAAGTGCAAAGTAACATACGGTTGGACAAAACTCCCCATAGCATGAGGGATTGACTGGGAACCAGAGCCTCTGTTGAGAAGAACAGAACCATGCGGTTCCTCTTTGGAGCCTCCGTTCACGTTGGATCAACACTTGAGTGTTAAGAAACCAGGCAGAGCTGGTGGCCAGACCCAAGGTGTGGAGCGTAACGGGATTACCCAGAGGGATCGTCCTAGTACCTGGTAGTCCCTGTTAAATGATCCCGTCAGAACCCCACTTTTATGGGCCCCTTCAGGTTGCTCTTCTCCCAGCGTACCCCCCTCACACATGACATCTGGAGTCAGAGTTCCATGAGTCAGACATACCAACGGGCAAGGTGCATCTAATCCAGGGGCACCCTGTTCTCCTTTCTCCCCCTTTGGCCCCTTTTTGCCTTTCTTTCCCTTTTCCCCCTGTGGATACAAGGGTTTAAATAAAAGACAGGTTTTATTGGGGGGGGGGGATAATGGTGATGCAAAAGATGACTTAGCCATTAGGAGTCTGGAAGGGCATTTACCATTGTTTTCTGGTTTAGGTGAGGCATGATACTATAAAAATAACAGAGTGACCCTGGATTCTGGGTAGCAATATGTGGCATTTTATTTATGTTGCTCAATAATTTGATAGAAGGAGACCAAAGGCCAACCCATCACAAAGGAAGATCAGTGTTGACAGAGAGCCTGGTGCAGTGGATTTGGTGTGTGTGTGTGTGTGTGTGTGTGTGTGTGTGTGTGTGTGTGATACCGACTGTACTGAAGCCAGCCAGTGCAGGTGTGATTCAGAGGAATAATGGATACTTCTCACAATTTTCAATACTTGTCAACTTGTTTCCCCCCCTAATCTTGTAATGGGTGAAAGCTACATTGAGCCAGAGAAAATAATATTAACAGCGTCTACCTTTTTGAAATATAAACAATTTTATGACCTTATTTTTTGCAGCTCTCATTAAAAAAATATTCAATGTATTAAAAATATGCTTCTATTTATTTTAACATTTGTTTTTAGGAAACTAAGAGCAAATAATTTCCTTATCAAGTTAGGTAAGTGAAGTTAAAAAGTGCTAATGCTTCTTAGCAATACCAATGGGAGAAGCAGACTTATTTATAAACGCAGGGATCTTCCTTAATTCACGCTTATTGATCTCATGCCAGGTGCTCACAATGGTAAATGGGGTTCCAGCTTACTTACAATTAAGAATAGATTCTGTTGAGGAGAGGAAAAGCAGTTTGGACTCAGCTGCGCTAACACTAAAAATGAGGAAGGCAGAGTAATAACATAGTGGGGAGGTAGCCGTGGAAATTAGTGTTTAGGAATCAAGGTGAAGGCTGTGGAAACCCGCGTGGGTCAGAGGGATGCCGGAATTTAGGAAAGGAGGCAAAAGGAGGAGAAGGAAGGAAGGCGCCTCAGCCATTTTACATTAACATAAACACCTGCATATTTACAGACAAGAAGCTGGCGAGTACAACATACAACACATACGCAGATTAGGGTATTCATTCTGCAATCAGGATGGCAGTTACGATAAAATGGAATAATTTCAGAAGCCAAACAACATGAATATTCAAAGGTAAAAAGACACACACATAACAGAAATATGAGATATGCATTTGAATAAACATATTTATGCTGACTGCGTGCGTGAAAGCTCCTCAGTTCTGTCCTGTGTGCCAAAAAGGTTGCATCAGAAGGCTCAGAATCAAGAACACTCGGGCTGTTGTAAGACTAGGGAAAGAGAGAAAGTCCGTGTGGTTTAGTTGACGGTGATTAAAGACAAAGCTTGGAGAAGCCAGGGTGAGATGGGAGCAGGTGTGACAGGAGGTAAGCTGGGAGGAGCGTTGGGGAGTAAATTGCCCACTCACGTGGAATGAATCAACATACTTCGTCAGCAAATAACTCCAGTGCCACGACATGAAATGGATGTAAACTTGTTTAGGTGAGTTCTTCCCTCCCAGAAGGCAGTGGACTCTCCTTCATCACGCAGGTGTGACTGACACCAGGTGTGCTAGGTCTTATTCACTTAGCATTCACTTCATTGTTTGGTAAATCAACTCATATTAATAACTTAGCCAAACTGTGTTGTCATACTGATGCTGACTGAGATTTTGGGAATAATTTCTCAGTAATATTTTTGTAAACTTCAAGCATTATGAAAACACAGACACAAATTTATTTTTCAATCCTCACCTGAGGGAATTTTCCCATTGATTTTTAGAGAGAGTGGAAGAGAGGGAAAGATAGAAATATCTATGAGAGAGAAACACATCAATTGGTTGCCTCTGGCATGTGGCCAGGCTGTGGAGGAGCCTGCAACCGAGGTGCATGTCCTTGACCGGAATCGAACCTGGGACCCTTCACTCTGCAGGGCAACGCTCTATTCGCTAAGCCAAACCAGCTAGGGCACAGACATGATTGTATAAAGAACAATATATCAGCGTTATTATTAATCAACCTAGTTTTATAACACAAAGCCATCTGTTCATCTGGGTATGAGCACATTAAGGGTTCCTGCTAATATTAATCTCTCATGTCAAAGAATGCTATACATAAAGTGTTCACACTTAGAATCTAATTTTCCTATCGACAAAACTTCTATACAATAGGAATCTGAAATATGAAAACATTTTGTAGGGGTGATTAACATTACTCTGAGGATTACATTTGTAGGTTAGTGTTTTCATAAGTTAAAATGCTGGTATTTTCTTCTTTGTTTAAAAGAGCATTAAAGTGAGTATCCTCATAATGGGACATACTTTGGAGTAAGATTTTGCACTCACACTACCCACCAGGTAAATAGAAAATCTATAATCTTTAAAGTATGCATGCCTTGAGCTAAAGTACCAGTACATTTATATTTTATGGTTAGAATTTGTAATTCAGACTAAAAGAATTATTATTATTATTATTATTATTATTATTATATTGCCTCAGTGGCCTTGCCTGTGAAATGGGAACAAAATAGCACCAACTTCAGGGGTTTGTTATGAGGTTGAAAAGACTATCACTTTTGGGAAAACACTTAAGTGCTCAATAAATGTAATCAGATTCATGGTGGTGGCGGCGGTGGCGGTGGTGGTGGTGCTTTTTACATAACCACTCACATGAGCTCTCTTACCAATGGGAAGCTAAGTCATATTTAAGGCCTGTAGAATACAGAGCAGTCTTCACACCTTTCTTTCTTTGAAAACTCTCACTCGGCCTTGCTTTTCAAAAGCTATGAACTTCCCTGTTAAAAAAAATTGTTTTCCTGCTGAAACCAGTTTTGCTCAGTGGATAGAGCCTGAAGACTGAAAGGTCCCAGATTCAATTCTGGTCAAGAACATGCACCTTGGTTGCAGGCACATCCCCAGTAGGAGGTGTGTAGGAAGCAGCTGGTTAATATTTCTCTCTCATCAATGTTTCTAACTCTCTATCCTTCTCTCTTCCTCTCTGTAAAAAAATCAATACAATATATTAAAAAAATTTTTTTTCCTAGGGTTTTGAAACAGTGTATTGTTAAATAGATCAGGACATGATTTACTCTGAAAAATATAACTAAACTGTGAAAGTGCAATTTACATTTGAACTGTACAAAATTATTCTTCAAAGAAGGGGAGAGAAAGGGAAAAATGATTTTAAAAATCCATAATCTAAATTTTACTTTTAGACAGAAAACTCTTTTGCCTGATTTTGGCTCCTGTGTACCCTGGAGCTGATGGTCCTGAGATGGAACCTAAACATGACCTCAGAAAATACACCAACATATTCACTTAAAAATATCTACAGCCCCTAAAAGCTGCCTAATGGACTCACTGGGCTTTATCGGTCACACTGCTTGTCTCCTATTTTTCCAGTTAAAAAAAACACATCAAGACACAGAACATATCTCCCATCCCTTCCCTGGGAATGCTGGGAAGATAACAAAAGCTTTACTGGAATGGGCGAACTTGGCCAGAAAACCATTACGGATTTGTGCTATTTCAGTTTACGTTAATGTGTAATTTTTTTTTTTTTTTTTCACTTTCAAGAATCCCTGAACATTACATCTTTCAACACACTGGTGTCAGGTAGTTGAAAAATAGTAGCCAGGCTATCTGGGGATTATAATGTTTTCTTCCATACTAGACAGTGCTCTTATTGCTAGTGGCACAGCCTTCTTCCTTCCCCTGTGAAGAGCCGAGCCCTCAGATCAGGCATCGGCATGTTTTTGGAGCACAGGACGGAGAGGGGGCAGACGCAGGAAAGACCGCCCCGCTGAAGCAAAGCAGACAGCACGACAAAGGTCAAGCAGGCACATGCTGGGAGGCAGAGGTCACCTTTTCTCCCTTTTCTCCTAGATCGCCCTTCTCGCCTCGTGGGCCAGGGAAGCCCTAGGAGACAAAAAGCAAACCAAAGAGACCTACTGATGTAACGGTGCACAATCAAATGGAAAACATAAATTTAAAATGGCATGTTTCTGAAACACAGACAGAAAGGAAAAAGGCATGCCAACAATCTCAAAACTTAGAGAAAGTAGCTCTTAGGAATAATAGTTTGCTAACACGGCAACTATTTACATACTAGAGGTTTCTTGGTTTTCCTCCGAGGAAATGGACAGTGGAGAGAATATCAGGATCCTAGTTTGAACCCCGGGGAGATCACTGCTCTGTGTGGCCGAGTGCACACCTCTCACCTCAGCAGTTTAGTCCTCTGACTAAAATGGGGTTAATGGTCTTTACTACATTGGTGGGAGCTGTTGGTGGGAGCACTGAATGCGATGGAATAAAGTGCCAGAATTATGTCTGCACGTATAAGTTGCTCAATGAACAGTAACTACTATTACTTTTGCTATTGTTATTATTCACCTAATACAGGATAAGCAGTGTGCATTTCAAGAGGCATTTACCTTTGAGATTCTCTATATTTATAGAATTGTAAGATAAATAGGGACTTTCAGCTAAAAAAAAATATGGTATAAGAGCTTTGAGGATAGATATAATACACCATTACCTAAGGGTAGCAGGTGAAAGATACTTTAATTTTATGCATATTTTAAAATAAGTCGTTCACATACAAATGTTGAGAGTGCTCTTAATTTGGGAAAGTATTTTAAAGTGGCACTATCAATTATCAATTATTAATTTTATACCAGATAATTACTTTTCCCCTTTATGTTTATTTTTCGCAAACACTCTTGGTGTATTTTATGCGGCTGTTTGTATGCATAGCAATTTTTGTTGAATGCATATCTACGTGTACAGAAACAATAAGACATATCCTTGCTGTTATTGATGATGGAGACCATCAGCATCTATTATAATAGGAAAATGCTCATTGCATGTATTACTTACATCAAGACCAGGCTCTCCATCTTTCCCCTGCCAAAGAACCACAGTAGCTGGATTAGTGTTCTTAGGTTTCATGAATAGGTTATTGTTTTCATTAAGGCTGCCTGGACATGCAACACTAGTATTAGAACTACTTCATCAATGTGAAAAAGATCTGATTAGTATTACACATTTTCCCTCCCACTAAATCAAGTGAAATGACTGTTAATGTTGCTGTTACGAGTCATGAAAATGTTTTCTTATATATCAGGTTAAATGGTTTGCTTTTTTGCTGAAGTTAAATGGTTGGTGTCCAAGTTATCAAGTCAGAAATTAAATTGAAAGCAAAAATCATTTAGCTGATTTCAAAACACTAATACAGTATGCAAATCAATGCTGCTTTAATTCTCTGAGTAGTGAGCTCAGACATGAGTAAAATAATGTGGAAACTTTATTGTTAAATATAGTTTGGATTTGGATAGAGTGCACCTTGTCCATAAATATTGAGGGGGTGAAGGTCACAACTTAAAACACTGTTTTTAAGTAAACTTTGTAAACGAATGATCCCCAAATATAAAAGGAGCCAGAAGGCCATTGAGCAAGGATGATAAATGCACTCCATGGCGCAGACGGTCAGGGCAGTGGCCTATTGTGCCTCACAATGGATCCACCCAGAGTCCCTGGGAGGCTGCTTTGATTCCATCAACTGAAATCTATTTTAAAAACCAGCCTTCACTGTAAATCTATTTTAAAACCAGCCTCTCCTTTAGCATTGAAGTAATGATGGTTTTGGTTTATTATTTCAGTTCATAAAAACTGAAATCCAGGGTATGTGGAAGTGCATGGGGGTTACAAACCTCAATACAAGCATACATTTCTATTGCAGTCCTTCCCTACCCCATGGGGTCATTTATGGTGATCCCAAAGATATTGTCCTAAAGCAAACCCAAGGCCTCAATTTGAAGTCTGTGTCATTGAGAATTTTTATCCACATCCTAGTTCAAGATCCCCTGTGATGACAATAACAGAGGGATCAGAGACATCGAGTCATCGGAAACATCAATTTGAGAATAACTAATTAGCAAGAGTGGTTTTAGTAAGTAACCTATGAAAACAGATAAAAGCTGCAGGAAGCTGTTTTAAATAAAGCTTCTACTATCACTTCTGGTACAGTGGCCTTCCAAAGAAGTGCCAGTCATGGGCATCTAATCAGATGGTATGGGCAAGGTGACACTGGATAGGGGAGTCCCACCTTTAAGCTCTGATCCTGTCAGTCTTGTGATGTGTGAGGGCATGTGTCTGTACGTGAGTGGGAGGATGACATGAATGTGACCTATCTCTGGAGGACATGGTGATACTGGGGTTGGAGAGAATGAGTGGACTATCTTGCTCCTGTAATGTGATTAGTTGGTCCCACAAGGGAGGGGCTATGTGTGTCCGTGACAGGTGATCTGTGCATGCTCAAGATGGAGACCGCACACGAGACAGAGAACTCACGGGCAGGCCATAGGGCCCTCTGGGTCCGGGCTCTCCCACAGCTCCTTTTTCGCCCTAAAACGAAAGGTAGAAATTTCAAACCAGACACAAACACCGATATTCACACCTGTGTCCCAATGGCCTGTGTGTAAAGCTCCTGTTTGGATTCCATCAAAATACCGAAGATTCAGGCTCTTCCAGAATTGCCGTCAGTAAAAGTAATCTACATAAGACGATTTTACTAAATCACCTTAGAAAGAGCATAAGACTTCCACTGCATGGTTGTGCCAAAGGACCAGCATATCTAGGATGCTGTAGTAGGGTTTCTTGGGCATTAATGTGAAACATTTATTTGTTACAAATTATTTAAAGTTATTATTTATTTATTATTGTTACTTCTCACCCAAGGATATTTTTTCCATTGATTTGCAGAGAGAGTACTGGGAAGGGAGGGAGGAAAGAGGGAGGGAAGAAGGGAGGGAGGGAGGGAAAGAGAGAGAGAAAGAGGGGGGGGGGATAGAGAGAGAAGGAGAGAGAAAGAGAAGTGAGATAGATTGATTGGTTCCTTCCCACTAGGGCTGGGGATGGAACCTGCAACCCAGTTACATACCCTTGACCGGGACTAGAACCCTCGACCCTTTGGTGTATGGGCTGATGTTCTAACCACTAAGAAAAACCAGCCAAGGCTTAAATGAGAATCTTGAATGTTTATAAAGAATAAACGTAATTGGAAGTGGTCCCATGAGTATGAAATAATTGCAATGACAGAGAAAAAGATATTCTGCATTTCAAGTAGAAAACCCTCTCTGACCCCATCTCCAAAATTAATGTGTCTGTCAGGACTTAGTGTGAAAACTTCAGGAGTCACTATGATGTTTATATGAGTGGTCAGACAGAAAATGTTACCTTCTTTTATCACACCTCTGTAAAAGTTCAAAGGTTAGCAAAGCTTTCTCATGAGTAAAGTGCCAAGTTCAGCTGCTTACTGAAAGCAGATCCATGTATTTTGCTGTGTTTGTCTATACTCCAGATGCCCACTGGAGCACATTAAAAGTCCCGGTTAACATTCTTCTTTAATCTAAATGTAGGGATTGGTGGAGCTAATTAGCACTGTCACCCAGAAGCACATAAAGAACAGGAGGCCACTGAAAATAAATATGATAAATGCTTTTGAACTTTTACTCCGTATTCCTGAAATAGCAGCATTTGCTTTCAGGAAAGTGGCAAGCTTTGAAATAAAACACATTTAAATTTGAATTCCAGTCCCGTCACTAACTATCTGTATGGCCTAAGGCAACTTTCTTTTTTAGATCCTCATTCAAGCTTATGTTTTTCTTGATTTTAGAGAGAGAGGAAGAGAAAGAGAAACATCGATTGGTTGTCTCTTCCTAGGCACCCCAACCAGGGATTGAACCAACAACTTAGGTCTGTGCCCTGACCAGGTTTTGAACTCAAAACCTTTTGTGTAGACTATGCTCCAACCAACTGAGCCACTGCTTCCCCCTCCAGCCCCCCCCCCCCCCCACACACACACCCCTGTCAGGGCTTAGGTAACTTTCTTAACCTTTCTTTGCCTCTGTTTCATTGGCTGTTAAAAAAGAATAATAATACATATTCTACAAGAATTTTTCTGAAGACAATTTTTCTGATTATAAATTATGTAAGTCACTGTTGTCAAATAATATGTCCCAGAAATAGCAGCTGTCATTATTATACAATAAAAGGTCTTATTTTTTAATAAAAAAAAAAAAAGGCTCAGCAACTCAAAGAACAACTCAAATTAATTCAAAATAAATTTATTTCATTTTGAGCTGGCATGTTATTTATGATTTTTAAAATGGTGGTGGTGGTGGTGGTCGTGGTGATAGTGGTGGTGGTGTGGGTATGTGTAGTGGGAGGTAGGGGTTTAAAAGGAGAGCTCACATAGCCTGGGTAGATCTAGTTTTAAAGAACTCAACAGATTAGAGTAGATTTCATTTGAAAAGGCTCCTCAGATTATTTTGATATACCTACCCCCTTCTTCCTCCTCTGATTGAGCACTTCGGCTTTATTTTGTTTTTGAAATGAATATACCATGGCTTATTTGAATTAAGCTGTCACTCAAACATTTGTGTGTGGAACTTCTCACATAGAATTGCCCTCCCCAAATAATTACTTTAAGCTAATAGCAATCCCCTTCTCACAGTAGTGACTGGTTCAGAAGTGGACAGGAGGTGTGGGGGAAGTCAGCTGGGACGGAAAGAGGCACGAGAGGGGAAGGTCTCTGTGTGTTCTCTGCCCATGGCTCCTGGATGGGGGCGGAGGTAGGTCAGTATCACAGGAACCTGGTTGCCAGTGGTCAGAAGACAAGGCCAGCAGGTGGGAAGGGCACAGAAGCAAAGCCGAGAATCCCTCCTTGAATGTTTTATTATATAAAACAATAAAGGTCTTCATTGTATTTTGAGTTGGGGAGTCTGTCATTTAGAGTCAAAAGCATCCTAATGGTCTTCATTTGAAAACTTCCAGGAGTGAAATATTAACACACAGGGATTGGAATGTGCAGCTTCTTCTCCTGGATTAAATAATTCAAAAAAAGAGAAAGTCTTGCACTCTCCAATTTAACAACTTCTGCAGCGCTCCTAAGAAGTTACAAGGCCAGACGAAGAAATCAGCTGAAGGCAGGAACCTCCTTGAGCTTGAAGAGCTGAATACTAATGGTGCCAGTCACGCGTTTGACAGTTTCTGAACAACACTGTCAAATGTCTGGCTTCCTTTAGGCTGGTCTAATTTTATTCAGGCTCTCTCATTTGCATGTCTACTCTAAAGAAATTATTCTAGAATGGCCCCCTTTTCCGATTCCTCCTGCTTTAAAACTTGAAACTTCTTCAAGACAAGTCCAGATGGCGCCTCCATCAATTAACACCAAGAATCACACTCCAGTTTAGCACTCTGGGTGAGGGGCACTTAGGGAGTACGGATATCCGACCCAGTTAAGATAGTTAACGTGCTGAGTAAATAAATACAAGTGTAACACTTTACACTGCCCACCATTTGACTTCAACTATGCCTTCAGAAATTCTTAGAGATTTCATTTGCTCTCCCGGTTAATCCTGCCCTGGGGCCGAGACCTGATACTCTTGTGATGGTGTGGAGCCATCGGAAGTAGCAGCTGATTTACCAAATGGTAAACCCTCTTGAGCCCCAGGGCCTCCTGCCAAAAGACTACTTGAGATTTGCTGTTCCATTTTTAGTACATGCACTGCATTTCTTGATACAGTGCTCGAGTGGGTCAGCAGTGGAAGCTCTTCGCTTTTAAATATTTTTTTAATGAAGAAGAGCTTCCTAAGTCATTGGCTTGATCTCAGAAATAAGATCAAATAAAGGTAGTTGCAGATTCAGATTATGTATGCCTCTAGGAGTCGCCTCCTTCTGGAAGCATTCTTGGACAAAGCCAGCTTCCCTCAGCACTGTATGGCAGCCTGGGCCTCTGTATTCACTGTGGCCTCATTATCTGGTTATATTTTTTTCAGGGATCTTTTTTCCCCCTCTGCAATTAGGTTGTAAGCTCTTCTAGATCAGGGAAAATAGCTGCTTCCTTTACAGTCCTGAATAAATATATGCCGTGTATTAGTAAAAGATTATGGGATGAGGAATTAATTATAACGGCATTCCATTCACTGGAGCAAAATAGACTCTACATAAAAAGGAGGAGTGTGTTTCCATTTCATACTGAAAGTGCACTGTGTTTCATACACCGTAACATGTGATAAATATTTATTGAATGAATGAATTCAATTTATGGAACATGGTATTGGGATATATGCCAAAGAAATCACTAAGTGGACAAATTATCCCAGATTGGTGAAACTCTATCTAGTTTTAAAAGACCACAAATGAATTATTTCCAACATTCTGAAGCCCTTGCTCTTAGGATCCTTTTTTTTTTCCATCCCATCCTGGATGGTGGGGAAACCGGTGACACAATTCCCCTCAGACACCCAAGCACTTCTCAGTGTTCCAAGGTGAGGAAAAGGGAAAGTGGGAGAAAAACAGAGAAAGAGGGAGAGGAGTTCCAGACAGATGACCAGCTGCTGATGCGGCAGCACATTTTTGTGTGTCAGATATTTATCTTCCACTCTGACTTTTTTTTTTTCTTCCCAAGGATATGGAATAGTGAGGTTAGCTTAGCAATAGTGAGGTTAGTGAAAGGTTTTTGTTTTATAATGCACTGAAATTATTTCCGTATGGTTAAAGGAAGACAGTCCATTCTTTCTTTTTTTTAAACAGCAGCATGTATAACTGCGTGGAAAAGAATATGTAGATTTTTGTCATCTTCTTTACAAAGTTATAGCTTACTCTCAGTGAAATAAAACCGCTTTCTGTGAAAGATGATCAGCCAGAACACAGAGTCGTGGAAATGCTAGCCTTATGGACTTCTATTCACCAGGTGAAGGGTAAGAAAAAATGCCTTCCTGACAGGTTCTGAGCTATTGATGTCAGCTATGTGAATGTATGCACTGTTTTCTATTAAGGCAGCCGTATTCCATGTTATGCTCTGTTGTTCTCTCTCTCAGAGTGAAGACTCTGAATAGAATGTATGATCATATCTATTTTCCTTTAATAGTAGATGGCCCTTTGTTTCTTCTGGGAAGTTCACACTTTAGTTTCTTACTGAGGTCACAGCTTAGTAACCTCAGGAGCAACTTACTCTTTCTCCTTTGGGACCTGCAGGGCCATGGGGTCCCATAGGGCCATCTGTCCCCTACAAAGAGATAAAAGATAAGATCATATGAGACATATCCCAGGGCTGTAAGAAAAGCAGTCATAATGTACCCTGGGCTTTCCTGGGTGAGTGACGCCCAAGAATGTCAGCAAGACAACTCATCTCCTTTCAGAGTGCTTTATGCTTGATTCTTTCAGGCCAGTGGTTTTAAAGAATCTCATGCAAGCGGGATGAATTATTTAACTGCCTGTTTCAATGAAGGGCCCACACAAAAAGCCATAGATCATCTTTAATTACACATCTCCTTCCTGACTACATGGAGCATCTTCACTCTGTCTCCCCCAAGCTTAAAAAAAAACCTGCAGTTGTTTTTTTTTCCTTTTTCTTCACATCACCTCTTGTTCACATTCATTCTCCGCCCCCAATGCCAGCCCGACTTTCCTTGGCCACCGATGCTCCGAGGCCATGTTTTCCGCTGCTTCAAAGGCTTGAACAGTTACATAAATGAACAAAGTTAAATGACACCAGTGTTCAATCCAAGTTTTCCTGAGCTCCATGCGGAGCAGCAGGGGGCTTCGAGCGAAGGAATGATTGTTGCAGGTCCTGCTGCAGTGGCTGAAGTCACTAGTAAGGTGACCAGACGTCCCGTTTCTGGCGGGACAGTCCCGATTTTTAACAATTTGTCCCGCGTCCCTCGGCGTTTTAACAAATTGTTAAAAAGCGGGACGGTCCCGCCCAAAGCGGGATGTCTGGTCACCTTACACTAGGCTTACAAGGCACAAACCAGGCAGCTGATGACTGAGCGGCATCATTGCCTTCAGGGCTCTTGGTTTAGGATCAGGATTTCTGTGGCCCACGAGATAGCATTTGAATGGATATAGGATCCCTGAGGTTCAAGGGAAATAATGGCTGCCTGAGGAAGGTTTTTATAATCGAAGAGCTAAAAATTTCTTTTTGATTCTTAAAATTGTAGCAAGGACTTCAAGTATGTTGGCTCATTTTCACGGAGACTACGCTTAGGTTTGCAAAGAATTTGTCATAAAATCTGCAAATGGGACTATTCAGCACACACGTTTATAGTGTTTTTATTTCTCTCTTACTGCGCTTGCTTATTCTCTTACAGCCTTGTGATGTGAAGTAACTCAGGGTTTTAAGTTCATTCTAACGTTGGTGAATTCTCACCATCTTAAACTGATCTTTTACTGCCTGAACTCAACGTTCATCTTCAGAAAACTTGTAAATACTGAGTCTCTGCGGCTGAGATGTAAGAGGTGGAGCTGTTAAGAGCCAGAGAAAAGAGACGACGACAGAAGACAGACAATTCATCTTGATGAACAAAGATTTTGAAAGTTAGTCCAATGAAGAAGTTACGTTTCTAATATGAATGTAAACATAAAAGGAGAAACAACTTAAAAATAAATCCACATTATTTTAATCCCGTCAGAGGGTCTTTCTCCTGGAGTCCCAGGAGATGTCATTGGTTATGGAGAAATCTGCCAGGATTCCAAGACAGCGATGCCAATCAGACTGCTATCCTTGTCACCCAGCAGGTAATCCAGACCTGCGCTCCCATTTCAGAAACATGTTCTGTAGTTAAGGCTGTACGTCCCATAGAGCCTCAGCCCATGCTCTGTCCACCTTCCCCTTCTCTGCCACTGTCTTTGCCCACCTCCTCATTTTACTCCAATCCTAGGTACCCTCATCTTTTAGCGGGAACACATGAGCCAGAGGGGTCTGTCCGGAAGCACAGAATTCACAGCCACAAACGCGCTGGAGCAAGACGAGGCACTGACTCACCCGGGCTCCTGGCTTTCCGTCTAAGCCAGATGCTCCCTGTGTGATTTGGTTGGTAGCAGGGTTGGTGGGTGTAACACGAATGACAAGAACAGAGATTAGTATGAGGTACCAATGAACAAGTGTAACACTTCAAACAACATAATCCTCAGTCACAGGGTTCTGGGATGAATATCACATTGCTACAAATTGTTAGTTAAAAAAATAACAAAAAACAAAAGAAACAAAACACAGGACAATAAACACCCCCATAGACGATGGCATTTTTATGACATTTCCATTTGACAAACTCTTATTTAGAAATCAAGGTAATGAGATTCATAGAGTGGGCTTTAAAGCAGTTACAGTAACAGCCACAGGCTGCTAATATCCATATGAAATTCGTTTTCGAAAGGCTGTACTATTCACAATGTTTTTCTTAAATTCTGAAGGAAAAATAATGGCCGGTCTCCTAAGAAAGGGCTCATTATAATAATCAATCAAGGATAGCATTTCGAGGAGAAGAAAAGAACTCTAGTCTTGTTTGTTAAAATAGCCTTTATGAATAACAAACGCAGAACTTGAACATGCTGCGATGACTGTGGCTTTTACATGAAGTCATTGATTTCTGGGTTGTTCTTAGTGTGTTCACATTAGTTACCACTAGAGGGACTTCTAGGAACAGGAAAAAGCCAGAAATAGTTCATGAGCCCAAACAAAAAATAACTGTCCCAAACAAAACTGTTCCTCGACTCACTTGAAGTAATCAAATAATCATTGCAGCAAAGTCTGGATGGGAAATGTTTCAAAAATCCAATGCAACGCATGCTCTCCTTCACCTTGGACTCCAGTGCATGATTAAAAGATGACATTTTCAATGCTTATTTCAAGAATAAGCACAATTGCTTCTTTGACATTTATTGATAGTCCTTTAAAAAATTGATTAGATGAAGGAATATTAAGGAAAAACAAGGCACCAGCCCTATAAATTCTCTTGGCAAGGTTGCAAAACTATTTTCCCATTTTACCCTTCAGATGTAATTAATAATACAAAACAAAAGAAAAAAGTATATTCCAGCTGCAAACTCTACCAATGATGCTATACCATATATATTTTGGGTAATTTTAGATTTTATTTTATAATTCATTCTGTTTAATTTTATTATGAGGATTATCACTGCAAAAACATCTTTAGCTAGCAATGATTGAAAAATTTAAAAAGTGTGTTGTTTGTTTAATGGTAGCATATGCAGAGCTTTCTGCTAAGTGTATAAAGATGATCACTAGTCCTAAATTTAAATGATACCGAAATCCAAAGGTTTTTTTTTGCCTTTTGGTACTTTGTTCAGTCACTATTATTATAACAATTAAATAAAATAAGGAGATGGTAACATTTTTGCATTGATAATATATTCATCTGGGATGTGAATTAATGACTCATGTATATTATAGAGGTTTTATTCTGAGATCATCCATTAATTTAATTGGTATGATTTAACCTATGCTCTACCACTCATTCAGTAAATGAATATCTATTAAGCATCTACTATATGCCTGATTTATGTAAGGCACTGGTTATCAAATAGAATACTTACTACTTAAGATATAGTACCCACAGGGAAAATAAAATAACTGATAATCAATTTTTATGTGTAAAATATATGAATAAATTATTTCCTATTACCAATTTTATGTCATTTTAATCATGTAATTTATAATGTTTTTTATTGACTTTTGTTGGCATTCACTGAATAGACAGCATAGTAAAAGCTTGAAACTACAACCTCATAGTCAATAACCATTGAAAAAAAATTTTTTTATTTGTGGAAAGAAGACTGGCGTGAAGTGCAGGTAAGGTAAAAATCCATTTTTTCCCCTTAAAAATAAAAATCTCTAAACAATTGCAAAATGCTTCTCCCATCCTGTCCACTATTGCCACAATAATCTCTTAAGAGAGCATTTCCAAAACAAACAACACACAACATTTAGTCCTCGATGTGATTGATTAATGTCAGGAGCCACAGCACTGACCTTATGCCATCAACAAAGGCCAATTGCACACCTGCCACCAACAGAGGACTACAGTTTGGGTATCAAAGGAGTAAAAAATAAATAAATAAATAAATAAATAAATAAAATTTGAAGGAGAATTTAAAACTGCACTAAATTAAAAAAAAAAAAAAAAAAAGTCTGGCCGAAACCGGTTTGGCTCAGTGGTAGAGCGTCAGTCTGGGGACTGAAAGGTCCCGGGTTCGATTCCGGTCAAGGGCATGTACGTTGGCTGCGGGCACATCCCCAGGTAGGGGATGTGCATGAGGCGGCTGGTCGATGTTTCTCTCTCATCGACATTTGTGGTTCTCTATCTCCCTCCCTTCCTCTCTGTAAAAAATCAATAAAATATATTTAAAAAAATTTTTTTAAAAAGTCTGGGAGAAATTATGAGCACAGCACATTTGTAAAGAAGAGGGTAATGGGAGGAGAACAGTCAGCTTTAACAGAGGAAGGCTGGCATGTATGTAATTGAAGGACAAAACAGTGTTGGCATGGTGTGTAAGGGGTCTTCCTCTTACAGGAGAGCGGGCATCAGGGAAAGAAACGGGCTGGGCTCTGCCCTAACAAACACAGTGTGTTCTCCGGTCATAGAAGTCTCAACTAGTAGCAGTTGCCAAGCACACCAGAGGTGCTGCTGAAGGGAGAGAGAAAAGTCTGAGATGTGCACTGAAATGGAAAGTTTTCTTTACTTACTGGAAGACCAAGGGGTCCTCTGTCACCCTTTTGACCTGGTTCACCCTTCAATCCTTTAACACCATTTAACCCTGGTTCACCCTAAATGCAAAAGCAAACGCCAATTTTGGTTGCTATCACGGGCGCTTCAGCCATGAGAGAAGAGAGCCAGTCTCTCGGAAATGGTTGCAGATTCCAGTTTTAGGTAACAGCTGAGTCAGGCTAGATTTGTCTTGCAACAGTTCAAAGTTAATTTCTAAAACATTACAAAATTAATAAACTGAAATGGACAAATAATATTCTAGGAAACAAAACACCCTAGAAAGTATGCTCTTTAGAATCAAAATATATATAACTGGGTTCCTGAAATTTTCACTTGTATATCAAGGAAACTGGTGTGGTGCCACATTGTTCTGACCAAGCAAATCAGAGACAGTCAGTGGAGGATGCTGAAGGAGATTCAGTAATAAAAAACCTACTCTGCTGCAATGGAAAACTGGAATATGCAGGACAGTGTTATACACAGACATTTTAAGCCTTTAAGCATTTTGCCCAGGGGAATGAGCTAAAAATATAGCCACTGATGTTTGAAGTAATGCCATTTAGTGAGTCCTTATTCACGGACATTGCCAAGTCAGGTCCCTACATGGATTAATCAATAGAGTAGAGAGCAAATAGCCGATCCCAGAAGAAAACACAAAGATCACAGAACTTACATGTTGTAAGTTCGTCTGCCCAATGTTTGAATGGAGAAGGTTTGAATTTAGTTTAGGGTTACATTACAAAAGCAATGAGAAGTGATAAATTTTGTTGATTTTTTTTTTTTAATCTAAGAATACAGTACACTTATGTTCTATCAGCAGCAGGATGTTAGAAACAGAGTTTAACTGGTTCACTCTTTAACTTTTAAACACAGACATTAACTTCATCAAGAAAATTTGAAAGCCTTTAAGATTATTTCAGTCTCCAAGCTCCATCAAGTCTTTCTGGGTGGGGCAGGAGGGAGGAGAGACCATGCCTACATGGCAGGAGGGTGGGGTTGTTCCCATCCGTCTGATGATGAAACCAGTGTGGTGCTTGTTAAACATAAAGAATCTGGGGCCCCAGGCAGACCTCAGTAGTGCAGGAAACATGTATTTTTAATAAGCCTTCCAGGTGATTCCTCTCATCGGGAAATGCTGGAAAACAGATCGTCCTTAGTACCATGTCACATATTTAAACTTTCAAAGGGGTCACAAAGGAGTGGACACATTTGGGCAAAGTCCTAATGACATTTTGGGATTCCAAAGATAGGGTGATCACAGTGCCACCACTACAGGAAACCTAAGTGTTTGGTAAAGAATGAAACTGGGAACGTCATAGAGCTAGAGTGAATGTGAGGTCAAGGCCAAGGCGCAATGGTCTACTTCAGCTAACTGGTCTGAGCTTGAGATAGCCGCCTTTGCATGTGTGTGGTCTTTCAGCGAGTGGTCTTGAGATGATGGATAGGCAGGAAAGCCTTTGTAGGCTGTGAAATTTTTTTGGTGAGGAATCATGTATTGATAGGACTGGTCATTAACTTAGAAGGTGAGTTTATAAACAGACTAATTCAGTGGCAAAAAGACCAAATTTCAATGCTGGACCTAAATTCTAGTCTCAGATCTGTCATTTAATTGCGGTAATTTGGGGTAAATTACCTAAATTCCCTGGGCCTATAGTTTATCATCTATAAAATCAAGTAGTTAGGATAAGTATTCTATGAGGTCTTTAAAACTATAAAAATTCTCTGAAGTCTATGATTTAAGTATAATTAAAGTTAAGCATAGGCAAAAAAAAATCATTGCATTTTAGATATCGAAAGAATCTTGGGCATCTATTAATCTAATGGCGGGATATATGAAGCATGCAAGGAATTAAAAACACAGTCTTGCCGAAACCGGTTTGGCTCAGTGGATAGAGCGTCAGCCTGTGGACTGAAGGGTCTTGGGTTCGATTCCGGGCAAGGCCATGTACCTTGGTTGTGGGCACATCCCCTAGTAGGGGGCGTGCAAGAGGCAGCTGATTGATGATTCTCCTCGATGTTTCTAACTCTCTATCCCTCTCTCTTCCTCTCTGTAAAAAATTAATAAAATATATTCTTTTTAAAAATAAAAAACACACACAAAAAACCCCCCACAGTCTTAATGGCTTTAGTCTGACTTATTATGATTGGGCTGGTCTTTAGGGATGTCTTAATATCCAAAGAGAAGCCAAGGGTGGGAAAAGAGACCCAGAGAAGTTAGATAACTGCTAAGATTACAAAGCCTGTAGACGGGCTCTCTCTTCTGGCCCCCAGAACAATGCTCTGACCCAAAATGATAATCCATGATTCTGAGGCACCACCACTCACCAGAAGGCATGGTAGTCTACAAAGAATAAAAAGGCATGCTCTCGTCCTGAGCTTGGCTGAGCCACCTGCCTGATCTCAAAAAGGAAACTCAGGTTGTAGGAGTCAAACTAGTATCTCTGCCGCTGCTAGAGCTGGTGAGTCAGGGGAGAGGCTGGGCTGCCTTCTGACCCCTATGCCAAAGTCGCATTATGTGTTCTCTCACCCTCACTGTTAAAACGCACCAACTCCGTCCTGAGGAGCTTTCAAGGGTACATGCACCTTCTCTCAAACAGCCTTGAGGACTAGCTAAAATTTTCTGTTCAGAACAAAGCGTCGAGTCAAAAGATGACAAAAACAACTGGCACTTATGGGTGCTTATCAACAATGGCACCAGATGTTCTTCTATTAAATCATCCCAGCCCCCTGTGGCAAGTTACCTTGCTGAGTACATGAAGGAACAGAGAGGGCAAATGATCGGCCCAAGGTAAGAACATGTCAGGGGCAGAGCTGAGATTAGAACATAGTTCCTCATCATACGTGTCCCCTGGAAGAAGATTGTCTTTCAGAGCTCATTCTCATCCTCCAAGGTGTCCTCTCGATTTACAGGAGAGCAGAGAACAGGTGGAGAGATCATCTTCACAATACATGCTGCACCCATGCTAAAAAGGAGGGCCATTCTCCACTGTTCTCTTGTTAATCCAGAGTGCGTGTGCGTGTGTGTGTGTGTGTGTGTGTGTGTGTGTGTGTGTCTCCATGTATGGGATATAATCTTCTCGGTATAGCACACCTGATACACCCTATTCCATGCTAGGCCAGTGGCCTCAGGGAGGACAAAATTAAGATGCTGGACAGTCAAAGCATTTAGATGTGGTACTGCTACAAGACAAGCAAGAAGTATCAATAACATCTCAATGTACAGCTAGAGATATGATAACAAGAAAGCATCTGGGCTAGTCTGAGAATCTCATCAGATTTACTTCTAAATGGTTGATTTTGAGTATATTATGATTAGTGACTTTAGAAACTTACATAATAACAAGGGGGAAAAAAGGAACATGAGGAATAATTCATCTCCAGGTGATACCACTTAAATTTGTTCTAAGTCATTCTGTGTTGTGAGAGTTAAACATCTGGATACTTAAAGGCTTAAAGATTATCAACATTCTTGACAAGTAAATAAGACAGGACAGACATGCTTCCGTCATGCTTCTCCATGATTAACAAGGAAACAGAAATCAAATAATCAAGGGATTTGTTAGATTACCTTTGGTCCAGGAAGTCCATGGGGTCCCTGAAAATGAAAAACACAGCTTTTAATTAAGAACCAAGTCACTGTTTCCCAGCAGAAGTGATTACATAACGTAACAAAAGAGATGTAAAACAAGAATCTCTTTGTTTGAGCTGTAGCTCCAGGCAGGCAAGTGGATGTTAATACCTAGCAGAACTTCCTTCCAGCTTCTGGATTGCTTTGTCATAGGAAATTTATTAATAGCAATTCTTTTTTTTTTTTAAACAACAGCAAAGATAATGGTTTACTCAATCATTCCATTGTTTCATGGCCATTACAAAAGCTAATACAGAGGAAAAAAAAATATCAATAGTAATTTCCATCACCGGGAGATACAATAATGACAATCCCTGTCTTTTCGTAGTATTATTTCTAAAAGAAACTCTTGCCAGAGCCATGGCAAGAAAAGTACAAGGAACATAGTGTTTAAGCATGACAACAGCAATTTTTTATGCAACTACCTGAGAGGGGGAGGGTGGAATCCGAGAGAATAATAGGAAAGAAAAAAAAAATAGGGAAAGTATTGTGAATCCACACTGCTCCTATCTCTCAAATCCCCATTAGACATGTAGGTGGCAAATGTGAGATATAGTATGAATGTATATGGAATAGAGATGTCTTAAAAGACAAACATGTAGCAAAGGGAAGTCCCAGACTTTAAATATTAGCGAAGAGGGGACCTTTTCCATTGCTAACTGCTCTAGACCCAGGTATTGGGGAACCTAAGGTAGAAAAAAAATGCAAAGATGATAGTCAATTCTGCAACCCTGTTGCATAATTTATTTAATTTAAGAATAAGGAAAGGATCTAATGCAGTAGTGGGAAGTATTATTTAGAATGTACTTATTTTAACAAAGATGAATTCTTCAAGGTTCTTGCAACAAATGTTTAGCAATGTAAAGAAGTCATCAAGGCTTTTCCCTTGTATTTTGTGGGAAATCTAAATAGAGGGACTAATTAGCCAACTTAAATTAACTAAAGGTTACTGTAAAATTGCTTTAAAGTTTTCAAATAATTTACATAAACTATTGGAAAGAGGACTATTTGAGTACCCATCAGTAAAATCATATGACAGTAGGAAAAATTTTTAACAAGCAATACATTGAAGTTTGTTACATACATGTACATTAGAATATTTTCTCCTTAGATAAGTTGTGAATAAACATTTTCAGGAAGTGTCTGATATTTTTTCAAGTATTCTCATCTTATTTTAGTATTGATTTGAAATTCTTTTAAACTAATTAATTTTAGGAAATGCACAAAATACAGTGTTGTTTAATCTTCTCATTTAAAGTGGAGGGCGTATAAGCAACCAAAATATGCCATTTTCTTAATTCTTAAAAAACTGGTTAGTTTTTAAGGAAAGGTTATGTATAATTGTTTTGTGGGTGAAATAGAAAAGACAGTAAGAAATAGATGAGTGGGTTTGGACTGGCTTGTATTATTCCAATGAAGCTCTTTCTTAGATTTGTATTTAATCTGTATGAACATGATTGAGACCCCCTCAGAGGTGAATGTGATTTTAGAGGTTGCTGGACTTGTCCCCATCCTGCCCCGCTCGAAAGCACTGAAGGCATCTGACTTCCATGTTCTACCCTCAACACACCGTCATTAGACAGACATTGGGAGAATTACACTGGCTTAATGGCTGCCTTCTTCACTGGGCCTAAGTTCCAAGAGGACCCGGCCCCCATGCTGATCCCTGAGGGATCCCTGCAGGAAGGATTGTTCCTATCAAAGTACCACAAAGCGCAAAGGAAAGGACTCAACAATGCCTGTCACCTGTGGAAGCGAGCTTCAATTGTTACCACATTATTTTATAAATGTTCTCATTGAACATTTCATTAAAGGATCTTAATCTTCAAAGTTAGTTAAAAACTTTCATTAATGGCTACAACTAATAATCTTATTTTGCTACCAATGGCCCAGAACAGTGCTTAAAATGATTTTCTGATGTTCACGTTGTAAGGCTGGAAGTAAAGCTTGCCAAATCTGTCTGTCTTCAACTTTCCTATCACAAAACTACTCTATCTCTTTCCAACAGACGTGTTTGGGGGACTGAAAGACAACACTGTAAAGTCAGTACATCTCAAAGCACCTCGTATTTTCTGTCCATTCCACAGAGAGTAGCAGGAAATACAAGCTGGCTGCTTTGAGGAATGCGCTCATGTTTTCTCTAGTAGCATGCTCATAAATAAATGACTACATTCTGGAGAGAAGAGAGACTTACCATGGGGCCTGGTGGGCCATGGGGACCTGGTGGGCCTGGTGGGCCTATGATCTGTATGTCAAAAAAATAAACATGGATTTGGTTACTTCATTTAGATAAGGCGGTTTGGCTTGAATCTTTTGCTGGGATTCTGCTAAGGCCATTAATAGCTGCAGGGAAAGAAGGATACTGGAAGAAATGATGTGTTTGATTCTCTAGGTTTAGAAACCCCTTTATGAGAAAAAAAAATTCTTTAAAAAATACAGTTCTTTTACAAAAGCCAGAATAAATCAAATGTACATTAAACAAAAAGGAAGCAACTGATTTCCAAGAAATGCTATAATGCCACAACCACTGTTAAACTCTCCAATATTTCACTAGGCAACAATAGGGCTCTGGAGGGAAAAAAAGAGCGTATGTTCTATATCCATAAAGCCCTACCCACAAGGGTCATGGGAAAACCATTGATTCCCCTTCCCCCCACCCCCAGGATTAGACAGTCCTCTGAAAAATTGCTTCTAACAGAGACCTCTGAGGCATTTCGTCTCTCATTGTTCAAGGCCAACAGACATTTATTCTACCGCTTGACAAACCGAGAGGTTCATGGTTTTTCCACTGTTGATAAGCCATCTGGCAGAGGTTGAACTAGATGAATAATAAGCCCATTTTGGAGTTTTTCAGGAACCATGGACGTTTAGCCACCATGGACTTACAGAAGGGCCCTGAGGACCAGGCAATCCAGAGTCTCCTTTTTCTCCTTTCATCCCATTGGCACCCTACAAATGACAGTGAGAGAGTTGAGCTGGTCACGTTATTTGCAAAGTGTAAGGAACAACTGAATTCTCTCCCCAAACCCATCATCCTTTTGAAATTTGTATATTATACACATGATATGTAAAAGAACGATTTATCCTCCTACAGTCTAGCTTCCCCAAATGCCTAGACTGTGGGTGATATGTGAAATAAAATACAACGTAAATATAAACCACATTAGGCTTGATTGGTTCAACTTATACATTGCTGAACATATATTATAAGTGTTACATATGTTTTTTTATGGCAGTATTCACTTTAAAAGCAAAGTTCAGTCTTTTAACTATGTCATTAACATTTATTTATACACTTCCTTATTTAAAAAAAATGAGGGCAATGAGGTTTTCTACATTTTTTCCCCTACGTTTGTCTACAACTTCTCTTCCACTTCTAGTAAAAATTATGGAGGAAAAAAAAACATAAAAACACCATTCTATAGTATCATACATGTAAAGAGAAGACTTTCCAGAGTAATTTATTTTTGTTTTACATTTTTTGGTTTATTTTTAAATTATGATTTTAAAAATTATCAGTTATCACTATCTTATGCATACTAAATTAAAGTGACTTTATTTATTTATTTTAGTATTTTCTAGTAAAACAAATTCAGGGGAACATGAAGGTCTATTTCATAATTCATTTGTTTGGATGCTTTAAAATTTGTTGTAGAGCCCCACTTACAGTAGTTAACCAAGGATATCTCAAATATTTTAAAAATTAGAAGGTGATATGAATGATTAGATGAGACGGCAGCTAATAATATAATTACTTTTTGATTATTCATCTTAATAGGAACACAGAAACATACCGGTAATCCAGGAAGTCCGATTCCTCCTTTTTCACCTGGCATACCTGGGTCCCCCACGTCTCCCTTTGAGCCTTTGAGTCCCTGCAAATGAGATGGTTTGCATGTAAGAACCAAACTATCCCTTGACAGTGATATCCTAGGGAACACAGAATTCCAGATCAATTCTGTCAGTAGGTGGGTCCTATGTAAAGATGATTCTGATTTTCATTTTTAGGTAGAGTTATTTCTAGTAGCAACCTTCTACATTCAATCAAAATTATTTCCCTGTGTAATAGAAGGCATTAAATTCTATCATTCAGACCATGCAAGTATGAAAAATATGAAGTTAGGTATTAACATCTCGTCTCCTGATTTTATATATATATATATATATATATATATATATATATATATATATATATATATTTTTTTTTTTTTACCTGGCGGCTAATTCTATATCATCAGTCCTGAAAACAACTTAATGGGTTTAATTCTCAACAGCAAAGTACCCACCTGAACCAGAACCTAGTGTTACAATAACAAAGGCCCAAATAAATTTCTGCCGTCTCCCCCTATATCCCTCCTATCCCCTTGAAATGCAGGCAGAAATTCCAATCACGACCAGTTTTCAATGGTCTAATCTAGACAGGAAAATAATTCACTGCGCACTAATGTCCAATCAATGCTTAGAAATACTTAAACTTTTCCACAGTGTTCTTATTTTGGTCTGGGCATACCTCTGTGAGGTAATCCAGGATCTTATTTTTATTCTCCTTTTACTATGAGGGAATACATAAATGTGTATTCTGAAAGCCAACAACTCTGAATTGATGATACTAATACTGAAATTATGTGGTTAAGCATATTCATTGAAGGAAATGCATAATTTCCTCATTCCTCATCACTGCATTCCTCACTGCAATATGACCAGATGGCCCATCTTCAGCAGAGATAATCATAGTTATTACAATAAGGGATGCTAAGGCTGCATAACCTGTTCATCTTTTCTATACTGAAAACTACTTGTAGATAGAAATGTGTCTTTTCTTGTAATTTATACTTATTTTATAGCACCTACTTTAGAATCACCCTTTAGGTGCCTGAATGACTAAATAAATCTTACTGGTTAATCAGACCCTGGTTGGTTTTAGGGCTCTAGTGATTGCAGCAGAATAGTCGACCTGCTGGACACAGTAGCAGAAAACCTTGTAAAGTCTATAGAAAAACCCCAGCTATGTGTATGGACAATGAAGCATGCCACTATGCTTGTCAACTTATTTATAACTAAAGGCCTGGTGCACAAAATTCATGCACAGAGAGGGGGATGGGTCCCCTCAGCCCAGCCTTCACTCTCTCCAATAGGGAACCCTTGGACATCCCTCTCACAATCCTGGACTGCTGGCTCCTAACCACTCACCTGCCTGCCTGTCTGCCTGCCTGGTCACCCCTAATAACACCCCCCCCACCCCCCACCAGCCTGATAACCCCTAACTACCTCTGCCTGCTGGCCTGATCATCCCTAACTGCTCCCCCTGCAGGCCTGATTGCCCCACACAGTCTGCTGTTTGATTGTTTGGTGACCTCTCACTGCCCCCCCCTCCCCCCGTGCTGGCCTGGTAACCCCTAACTGCCCTCCCCCTGGCCTGGTCACCCCTAACTGCCCCGAAGCTACAACAGCCCTGACTGTTTCTGTCTTTCCTAATAATCTCAACAATTAGGTGTAATCTATATTTGCAAAAAGAAAACATATATAAGCAATATTTAATTCTTTCACTGATTTTAGTCTTGAATCATTTACATACATTCACTGACAAAAGCAGGATATTTTTTGCTACATAGGTAATAATTTTACAAGTTTATTAAAAATTCACAAAGGACTCACTGGTAGATTGATAAAAAGTATTAAGATAAAACTAAAGCATCATACAGCTTGTATGTTTCTGCAAAGAAAACTGTCTTAAAACCAATTGCCTTTTAAAATAGCAATAGGCTCATTAGAGAAAGCAAGCAGACAGTTCTGTCGGGGGATTAGAGAGATTGAGCAAAAAAAGGGGGGAAAGAAAGAGAACTCATGGACATGGACAATAGAGCCGTGACTGGGTAGGGGAGGGAGATGGCTGGAGGATAAGAGGACATAGAGGGGATAAATGGTGATGGAAAGAGAAAATAAAAATAAATAAATAAAAGCAATTAACATAGTCTCCAGAACAGATGGTGAAGAGAGAGAAAGAGAGGGGGGGGGGGGAAATCACATATCAACATGCATGTTTTTCTCGGCTTCAAACTTGCAATAAAAGTAATGATCAATAACAATGCTTTAAATGACAGTACGTATCTTTGAAAATTACCTGCTCTCCGTCAACTCCTGGGATTCCTGGCGATCCTGGCTCCCCCTGTTAAGATAAAAACTGATGGCTTCCTCCCACTTATCATTAGTAGCATACTAAGCTATATAAAAATGTTGCTAGTTGATAACGGTACAATTTGACTTTCAACAAATGTATCATAACCCAAGAATACTCCATTACATCATACCACATATCTAAACTAAGTAAAATAGCATTTTCTTGAATATTATATATGACAATACTCATATGTAGCTAAGATCCAGTGTGATCCTCATGTGAGTTGCAGGCTAAACAAAAATTGATGAAAGGAAACTGATAAAAATCATTTGATGGCTGGCCATGTTCTATACTATGAATCTATAGCAACAGCCTATATGTCTCAGTTAACTTTTTTTCTCCTAAAAAAATCTGTATGATTTCTCTTATTTTCCAATTTGAGAAATAAGTAAAAACATGACCATTATCTTAAGAGAAAATAAAATGCAAAGCCACATAAATTCACAATAGTTCAATTGACACTGGTTGAACCATAACAAAAATTCATAATGATTGTGAATGTGCTACTTCCAGATAAGTCTCCCTGAAAGATGTAATAAATCAGATAATAACTTAATCCACATTAAATTACTTTTGGATCAATTCGATTTCCCATACTATGCTAGGAATGCACTACATTTACTATTTATATTATGATTTATTAGAACCCTTGACAAACCCAAAATATATAGATTTATTTTTTCCTAAAGATGTTCTATTAAAAACAAATTTAAACAATGTGCTAGAGATTTATTCAAACAACAAATGTCCAATCACCTTTCAGTTGGGAAGGTACTGAACAAATTCCTTGAAAGGAAAAATATTATTTTATTTCAAGGAATCGTGTATTTGAATCCCATTATAAATATCCCTTGTTTCCAAATTGTGGAAACTTTGTAAAAACAGCTCTTTTGAGGGTTGAATGGCCTGCCTCTCAGACATGATTCCAAGGGAGCTGACTTGAGACTATATTTTTCTAGAAAGGCTTGATTGGTGATGTTATAAACCACAGTACCGAAATGGCTAGAGCTCTTTTCCCCGGTAAAAATTTTAACAGCTATTGGCCACAGCATAAAATTTGAGCTTTCCAATGTTTTAGAAGGCGCAGCAAACATAAAAAAAAGAAAAAGAAAAGAAAGAGAAAAAGGGCTTTTCTTTCCAGATTTCCTGCTCTTTGTGGTAGCAGCTAAGTTTATTTTGCCACAAAGCCTGCTGAGGTTGGATGCAACTGGCTAAGCCCTCATTTCATTCAGTCTGAATACTTGTCAGCACTCTGGGCCCAATAACGATTGCTTTGCTAAACTTCTACCTTCAAAATGTGACCCATGAGTGTTTAAAAGAAAAACATAATTCATGGGTTATTCATTTATCCTTCACCAATCAAAAGTGGTTTGTAAAGAGTTTCTTGATGTCTAAGAAGTCAAACAATCCATGTTTGATAAAGGAAGGAGTGATGCTAATTGAAAAAGTTCCCATTCAGTCTGAGGCTGTGAGTCCTGCGTGAGAATGGGATTTATGTTTGACTCAGGATATATTTGCTGAGTCTTGGTCATGGGCCCATCTCACTCCAATGATCTTAACCTTCTCAAGAAGAGATCATGGAACACACAAAGGACTATATCAACTAACCCAAGACCTCAATTACAAGAACCTTGTGAGGTGTGAGGAATGGGGCAGAGTGATAGCACAGTGGGAAGAAGGGTGGGGTAAGAGGGAGTATGACTAACTGCCTCCTCCTTACCCCCCTGTCTAGACATTCATTTGGTCAATTTTTCTTTCTCAGTTTTGATTCCTAATCTTGACTCCCAAGGCTGAGACAGCCTTCCTATTTTGCATCTTGATCAAAGCACTCACTCTTATTTATAAACTAGTGGCCTGGTGCATGGATTCATGCACATTGAAAGGATATTAATATTAATTATGTGGCAACACATAACTCACAGCTGAAGGTGGAATAGTGCAGCCCTGTGAGGAATCGGGCTCCCTCCTCTCTGGTTCCAGGGTGTGTCACCCAAGAACTGATGCTTCCAAGTCACCATAGCTCAGCAGCTTCTGCATTGAGCATCTACCTCCTAGTGGTCAGTGCATGTCATACCTACCACCTGGTTAACTGGTCGGACAGTCACTTAGTCATATATATATATGTATTATTGTGCCATTACAGGATATAATCCCCTGGTTGGAATCCCTTACTATACCTTAAGTATTGTTATTAGATATTAGTACTTGGTACAGAGTAGAGGCTCAAAAATTAATTATTGAATAATCTATATATATAAAAACCTAAGTGACAGTCTGACTATTCGACCATATGCTATGAGTCACAATCAGCACCAGGGGGCAGACACTCAATGCACAGGCATGGAAACATGGAACAGACTGCTGAATCTCAGAGGAAAGTGGGGGAGAGGGCAGGAAGAGATTAACCAAAGATCTTGTATGCATACTAGAGACCCGGTGCATGGATTCATGCACAGATGGGGTCTCTCGGCCTGGCCTGTGGGAATTGGTCAAAAGCAGCAGTTCAACATCCCCCGAATGGGTCTCAGATTGCAAGAGGGCACAGGCCAGCCGAGGGACTCCACTGGTGCACAAATCTATGCACTGGGCTTCTAGTTAAATTAATAAATGAATAGCAATTGGATTATAAAACTGGGTATTCAGGTTTTAATGATATCGCCCTCTCAGGTAGGTGGTCCTTTTTGCCCCTGTGGGCCAAGGGATGGGCACCCTTTGAGCTTTTGCAGGCATGTGGGCTGTAAAGAAAAAGTCCTAGAAGCTGTGGAGAATTGTAGGGAATGACGTGCATAGTTAGCACCAGGGACAATTTTGTTTCTGGAGGCTCAGTCAAGTGAGGAGATGAAACAAGGAACTCAGACATAGAACTCTACATAGAGGGAAACAGATCTGCATATTTCTTTTTAGGTTGTGGAGTCCAGCTCACAAACATATTAAACAATACAAATCCAGGCTGACTTATTCACTAGGAACAAAGGCTGTCTTACATCTCTTAGGAGCCAGAATGTGGTGGAGAAATAGAAAGTTAAAAATCCTAAACTGTACACTGTTATACAGGAAATCTGTTTGAAATTAAGATCTATATTCAAATATATTTCCCATAGCCAAGAACCTCAGTAATATTTTACTTTATATTTCTTTTTTTAATTGAAAAATATGCTAGTGTTCTGTTCTCAAGTACCTTGAAAGAGAAAAGTACAAAAGCCGCTGTGTGTGTGGTGTGTGTGTGTGTGTGTGTGTGTGTACGTGTACATGTCTGTGTATGTATGATAGACTTAGCAAATAAACTGCCTTAAGAGGCATAAACAAAAGATGGATTACTAAATTACCTGAATTGCCCACAAAAATCCAATGATGAAAGTCATATTTCAACACACATAGCTTAGTTCTGAAAAGCCAAAATAACTGGCCATGTGTTAACTGATCAAATAACGAAACTTTACTTTGGAGGGAGAAAGCTAATGCAAGCAACAAATTTAGATATAACCACATATGTTTCATTAGATAAGATTTAAATGGCAGAATATCTGAATATATACAATTATGAGATGCTATAAAAATGACTCAAATGATTTATAAAATTGTCATGAATGCATCCCTTATTCTTTCTTTTATAAAATAATTAGAGGGAAGGATCTTTTTTAGTGTCTGAGTATATTTTCCTTCAATTCTCCTCTATCTAAATGCTTTCCTTTCTTCATACACCACATTTAGTGTTTTTTTTTTTACATTTATAATTTATTTAAAACTTGTTTTTCCTTTAATATTTTCTCTTTTCCTCAATGTCCTCCTCCTAAATTGAATGTCATTTCTATATATTTTCCCTCTTTCCTAATTTTCCTTTTTTTAAAATCCCTTTTCCTTCAACCTAAACCTCAATTTCTCTTCTTACCTCCTTTAAGCAATATTGCTGATCCCAGTTCTCCAGCATTTTGTAAGATTGATATGCAAAGATACAAATATTTAATATAGGATTCTCTGCACCATATGTGGTAAACGGGAATAGGTAAAATAAAGAATAACCTTTGGCCCTTGTAGTCCTTGAGGTCCAGGTGGTCCAGGGGGACCCTAAATCCAGAAAAGACAAAGTTATGAAAGGGAACCAAGTCTATGTATTAAATTTCATACTTTAATAAGTATACTACACACTTCCTTAATTTCTATCATAATCAAATATCTCCTAATATTGATTTGCAAGGAGGAAAATTTCATCAGTTGCAGATCTACTTATATGCAAAAACATCAATACATAGGCCAAAATAGTACTGTAGATGCTTTTGAGTTGAATTGCAAGACGATGTAAAATTGCTACTCTCTCACATTCATCTTCTTGGGTTGAATTAGCTTATTAATATTATCTGTGCCTCTAGACACATTCCTCCCCTCCCCTCCAAAAGGCTTTGCTTTCCCAAACACTAAAAAACAAAACCATATAATTAAGATAAGGCCCAAGACTTTTGGGAAAAAAAATAACTCTTTTTTTCTTGACTTTTTCACTAAACAGATAAAGTGGTTAAACTTGGGAAAATGTGAAAAAGGTTATTTATATAAGAAAAAATAAATCTCATATAAAAACAATTGCTACATTAGTACCATTATGAGCAGCATGCATCAACATCAAATACAAAGCCACAGACCACAGAAATCATGCAATAGGAGTTACCGTGACAGTTAAGGTGGTAATCCTCTGTTGAGAAAATGTATTGATAAAGACAGAGTTACCTATTTTGTGTGCTGAAGTACAGTAATACATTTCTGAAATAATCAATGTTTTGAATATGTTTTGGAAAGACTAATAACTCATAAGGAATTGACAAGAATTTGAGAGCATATAATTCTATCTTCAAATGAATAGAATACTGGTATATTATAAAGATTTCTTTAAACATTATTTTTAGAATTTTATTTAAAAATCTGTGGATAAAGAAAAAAATATCAAAATTTTAATTCACTTTATTTTATCATTTTATTTACTTATTTTTTAAATTTATTGATTTGAGAGAGAGAGAAACATCCATTTGTTATTTCACTTATTTATGTACTTATTGGTTGCCTCCTACATGTGCCCTGAATGGAGATTGAATCCATAACCCAACCCACTGAGCTACCCTGCCAGGGCTAATTCACCTGATTTTTAAAAATTATGTAGAGGTTTGTCAGTTAACTGTAACCTGAGAAACTTAATCATTCATACAATTTCTAGATCTTCTAGAGTACTTTAATTAGAGAAAACTTGAACAATCTAATTGTGTAAATAGTATTTTTTTTCTCTTTTAGTTTTTGCCATGTCTAAAGATAGAAGCCAACATGGGATTCATCTAGTTTCTTAATGTGAAGGGCTAGAGTTCTGTAACAAAATATATTCTTTGAAAGTATAAATCTCTAAAACACTTGATCCCTAATTTAGGATCATTTTTGTGTTAATGTTTTCTAATTTATTTTTTGTGCTAAATGTTCTATAGGACCTATAACCAATTTATGCAACCATACAGGGCAAACATTCTCCATGGGATATTCCAGTCCCAACAGAGAAACATTATGCAATTACACATAGACTTGTGAATACCAGTTTAGCACCATCCCTTTGTTTTCCACTAATACTCCATTCCAATTTCTGATTTACTAGTAGTTTGTTGTTGCTGTTTTTTATTATTGTTGTTGTGAAAACATAATCTTAACATTATCATACCTCAAACACTTGTGTCTCTAGTGACATGATGTCGTTATTCCTTAGAACACAATGTGTTATGCGTGTGTATAAATACTCAATTTTGTACTCTGATAAAATCTGTTATGGTCATTATAGCTTCAGAGAAAATATAGTAGGAGAAAAATCAACCAGTACTTTTTTTTTTAAAATCCTCACCCAAGTATATTTTTCCATTGATCTTTACAGAGAGTGGAAGAAAGAGGGAAAGGCAAAGAGAAATATTGATGTGAGAGAAACACATTGACTGGTTGCCTCCTGCACGTGCCTTAACCAGGCCTGGACTTGGGAGGAGCCTGCAACCAAAGTATGTGCCCTAGACAGGAATCCAAATACAGATACCACTTACTTTATTCATATGGGATTCACCTAAACAACAGTCAAATTTAGGATTATGAGAAAGCTACTTCTTCATTTCTATAGATAAATTAGTCATTAAAAAAATCTTCTAGAAAATTAGAGTAAAAACACTTTCTTATCATTCCCTTCCAATTACACGTTGCAATTTTAACTAGAAAACAGTCATAAGGCCTTAGAAAAAGAAATGAGCTTAAAAATTAAACCCTTGGAGGTTTTCTAACAGTGCCACATATAATTCTTTTTTTTTTGTTTTTTTTTGTTTTTCACACTTTATTGGAATACAAGGCAATCTTACAGTCTTAGATCTTTAAATGAACAAACATGGTGATATAGTACTGACAACAAGAATGACCTGAATGATGGGAGTAAGTGGTTTTCCAGTTCAGGAGGTAACAGAACAGGTGCAAGATCTTGAAAAAGAACCATATTACTCAGCCACCAAAGCGTTTTAGCTTCAACTCACTAATGGCTGGAAGGAAAGCCAGTCTAGTCAATCATCTTCTTCACAGCAATTCGGAAATTTGCACAATTTTTCAAACTATTTGTAGGTATAGGAGAGAACTCCAGACTGACTCATAAATTGATCTGGATGACTACTAAAGTGTCCTCTAGTCACAGCTGGCAGAATCTTCAGAGTGACTGTTGCAGCAAGGAGCCCTTCATGTGCTCCCAGTTGTTATATAGTGCATAGAGGCTAGTGAGTGTCAGTCCTGCTAGACCACCTCGTGCTACCCCTCGAAGACCACCTGTACATTTATACAACATGCCCGTCATAGTTCCAGCTGCTACTGTATTGAGGTCATCTCTGCACCTCGTGTTTTCTCAATGATGACACCAAACGCACTATAAAGCAAAGCCAGAGAACCTAGAGTATTAGCCCAAAGTGCCCCTTGCCTGGTCACCATGTTCAAAACCTGTACATTTCTTGGTTTGGACCAGGCCATGTTCTGGGTTTCTTTCAATCCTAGCCGTAGACCGTTCATTGCCCCAAATGCAGCCCCTGTCATACAACATCCTCCAATGGTAAAGAAGGCCAGTTCAAACCTGCCCCGGGTTTTATTAGCTCCAGTGGGTAAAATAAATTCATCTGTATCCTGCACAAGATACCGTGGATCCACACTTAAATAGGGAGATAGAGGACTCATACCAGTCACTTTAAGTCCAAGTTCTAGTCATCCCACAACGTCCGAACGATGAGGAATACATGTTCATAGGAACGAGGAGCGAGCAAAGGCGGGCTATAATTCATTTTTTTAATCTAAACACAAAAACTAGTTCTTTTATAAATTTAGATATAATAGCATGTTTTATAATGAGGTGCATAATAAAAGAATATTATTAAGATAACTGAACTAACGGATGGGATTTAAATGATTTTGTTAAACAACTATTTGTGAGACCCAGAAGTTATACAGGGCAGGGCAGGTTCCATCCAGTTAATAGAAAAAAAACACACAAATGACAAAACACTAAGCAAAGTCTTCAAAACCAGAGTTTTTACTGCCATCCTGAAGCACTAATGTGCAGACACAAAAACATCCTAAAGATGTTTGCTCATGTTGGACTTCTTGTATCTGGTTCCTCTAGGTTAAAGGTATATATGCTCAGCAGGATTCTCACTTGAAGTTCAGTTATGACTTGAAAGCAAGAATGTTGTTGGTAGAGAAGAAGAAAGGCATGCTCTTCTTTCATGAGGCATGATGGGAAATGGGAAGCATGAGCTAGAGTGATTACATTGGTTGAAGTTCGAGGCTGCTTAGTGATTCATTCCCTAAGATACTTATGTAAATCACTTTAGAATTAAAGGTTATTTCCTTTCCTTTTTGACAAAGATGCACACTTAAAATTACCCATGATTTACACCAGAAAACTGGTTTAGTTTGAATGCTACTGAGGACTTTTAAAAGCTTGAGTAGGAAATAGGGAAGTTTTACTGCAAATTGTGGAAATGCAACCACCTTAAATAAAAATAAATGGCTTATGGCAAATGTTCATGTAAATAACAAATTTCAATTGAGGCAACAGTAAAATATTTGTAATGTGATATTTTTATAACTGTAAAATACTCATATTTATCCAATTATCCTAGACTTTTTTGCAAATTTTTAGAGAAGGCAGTAGTAAAATGAAACAAAACTGTGAAAATCCATCACTGGATAGAGAATTAGAAAAATAAATGTCTGCTATTTCCTTTCAGTCTAATGGCTATTTAATATAGTTCTTCTTTTTTTTTAAGGGCTCTTATCCACTAGAGTATATAATTAGAAAAACAAATAGTTTTGAAGTGAAAAACAATGACACTATAAATTATTTATAAGCACAACATATAGTTGTCCTAACTAACCCATAAGAATAATAGGTCTTTAGAGATTGAGATATAAATATGAACCAGTTGATTATGATGAATATTGACTTGTTTACAGTCATACAGAACTCATGGTGAGCACAGATTCTTTTCAAGATGCAGGTGTCACAATTTTAATTAAATACAGTGTGTTCAGGCACACCACCAGAAAGGGTTCAGGAACTCAGAAAATAATCCTAAGTATAATGTTAGAATCGAAAGACTCTTAAAAAAATCTGTTTAATCAAATCCTCATTTTCCAGATGCAATCAATGAAGTATAGATACATTGATTTCTCTAAAATGACTTAGCTAATTAGTAGTAGAAGGGAGATCAAAACAGAGATTATAGTTTTAGATTAAGTAATTCCCGTTCTTAACTACCAGTTTCTATTAATGATACCAGTAAGTCTTTAAATTTCTTGAGATAGGAATTGCTCCATGCCAGTCCCTGTTTATGCACAAGATGCTTTAAAAGTCCTCTTTTATACATTTTTTTTTTTAAAAAATGGCCAATAATATTGGAGCAGTTCTTGGAAGGTAAGACAATGGATATCTCTTAAATATTATAGTAAGAATGATGGGAACGGTATAAGGGAAATTTATAACATTGTTAATAAATTAAGTTTAAAAAGTGTCTCTATATTTTATAAGTAAGAACTTTGAAAACATAGTAGGTGCACCTAACTAACCTTCTTGTTCTGTTACTCTTTTTCTTACACATACCAATGAGAAGAACAGAAAAAGTAGGCTGATCTGAAGATAGATTTTATAAAAGTGGTAGTTGTAGGAAAAGACTCATAGGAATGAAGGTCTACAATAATTAGAGAATGTTAGTGAAGTCATGAGGATAGAAAAAAACAAGAAACAAATAGCAAATAGCAAATATTTAAGACAACTGTTGAATCTTTCAAGCAAATAAATGGATTGTACATATGAGATAAATATGCTCACTCATTCAATCAATGACTTTATTTAATATTTATGCCCAGACCTGTTTCAGGCATGTTGGGGGATGTAGAGTAAGCACAAGACATATTTCCTGTCACCAAGTAACTTCCAGTCTGGTAAGCAGCAAGATTAAATAGTTTATGTGACTTAAAGAATAATTAAATGTAAGCTACTAGACCCTGACCGCTAATGTTTAAAAGAGGAGGATCTCATCTGGGTGGCAGCAGTACATTGTTGGAAAGGACTTAAATGGATAAAAGAAAGGAAAGAAGGATGGGATGAACCAGGCAAAAAGAGGAGGATTTTTATGGATAGGGTCAATAAGACCACTTCAGGAGGAAATGTATTCTGGAAAAATATAAAATTCTGTATAGGAAACAGAGGAATATAGAGCCTTAACAATCAGGTACAGAAGTAGAGAAGTTTGAGCTTGATAGAGTAGGCAAGGGGGTCCATTTCGGTTTCTGAGAAGATTGAAACCATCAAAATAGTAAAAACTATAAAAATTAACCTTGAAGTGATGTATAAGTTGGATTAGAAGAGAAAGAAGGCACTAGGGAAGAGGAGTTGGCTGAAGGCTTGTTGCAGTGTTAGACCTGAAATAGACAGGATGTGGACTTAGTTGGGAATGAATAGGATGGGTCAATCTCAACAGATAGCTTGGAAGAAAGAAACAGTAGTATATGGTGGGATATGATGGATGAAGGGCTAAGAATAGTTAAAAATAACTCCAAAGTTTCTATCTCAAGAAATCCAAAAGCTTGTGGTATCATTAACAGAAATCGTTAAGTTAAGAAAGGGAATCACTTGGTAGGTGGGAAAGATAACCAGTTTAACTTCATGTCTTGGTGGAAGTTGATAATCAATTGTGCATCCATTGAGGAAATATTCCTAGGCAGCTGGAAGTATAGGCAGATCAGATACGATGTAAAAGATTTAGAAGCAGCCATAACACAGAAGGACATGGAGTGATGTGCCAAGAAAAGATTAGAGACATACCAAAATTAGGGAATGGATAGAGAAACTGGAAATACAAAAATAGAGTGGATCTGTCATAGACAGAAACTGGAAGAATTGAGAGTAGAGGATCAGAGAAACCAGGAAGAAAAAGTTTCAGAAAAGGAAGGTGGTTTAGGATATATGTCACAGAAAAGTCAAGGGTGATAAGTACCATGTGCTTGACTTAGATGTTATTAGTGACCTTTAAAGGAGAGGTTACAACAGACTGGTGACAGAAGCTAGAATGCAGGAGTCTGAGCATAAAAAGGATGAATAGGATGCAAAGTGATGGAGGCATGCCACAAAGTCTATGGTTTTCACTTAATGGAAGAAAAAGAATTGAATGGTAGCAGTAATAAGAAACACCCACGGAGGACTTACTCAATGCCAGGCATTTAGCCATTTATAGCTCACAATAGCTCTTTCAGGCAGATACTACAACTGTCCTCATTTTAGAGAAAACTGAGGCCTAGGTCATGCATTTAGTAAGCAAAAGGGCTGAGATTTGAACACAGGCATCTTCAACTCCAGAACCATAGGGCTTTTCATTGCTTTGCTTGGCTTGCTTTTCAAGCAAGGAGGCAAAGATTGGTGAAATAAACACAGGTTTTAAACCAGGTAAGACTTACACATACCTGAAGGTACAAAGAAAAGAGAAGCTTAAAAATGGTAGGAAATAAAGAGGATAAACTGGGGCAAGCAGAAAGGGATGGGTTCAGAATAGGAAGAGGGTGTGGTTTGAGCAGTGGAGCTCCCTGGAATTCTTGGGGGTAGGGAAGCTGATGTTTATGCTCATCAGTGTCACTCTCTGTGGCAGGGAGCAGTCACTTGCCTGCAAGGCTTCGTGGAGGTTGCCATTGTAATCTATGATCTCTGTGGCTCCTTGATCCCCCTTTTGACCAGGTGGGCCCTATGGAAAAAAAAAAAAAAAAACAACCAACAGGAAATCATGTGGGTTAGGCTAGGATATAGAAGGGACTTTGGCAAAAACAGAATTAGTAACTTGCAGCTCTTTGACCATCAATTCCTGGCTAAGGCACAACCACACTTTAGAATACATAGTCATGTTTGAAGTTTGTCCTTATTTCATAGGAGGTGAGCCATTTCTAACTTCCCTGTCGGTGCATGTTAAAGATATGAAATATGAATAAAAAATAGGTATGAGTCAATCTCTGAAACTGTTTTCTGAAAATTATAAAATGTAGGCTAATCTGATTCAACTTGTAAACATTCATTGGCTTTATACATATTTATTAAAGCAACCCTAACCTTTTCTGGTCATTTACAACTCAAAGATTGCTTCCTCATTCTTTAAGACAATAGAACTCTGTTCAAAGGAAACTCCTGGTTTTCCCAACTGGAATAGAGTTCTATTAAAATAAAATCAAAGAGGGAATGCAAAGAAGACATGTATCTTTAAAATTTCTACCCTACTCATTAGCTCTGCCACTGAATTTCCACTAATTTTGTCCTAATTCCTTGCCTGTGTTTTAACAAAAGGCTCTGAAAATAAGGGTGGTTGCTTTATTTTGAGAAAAATGGAAAATTCTACTAGCTGAATGACTATGGATTTGCTATTGCTTGTTTAGCAGAGGAAGATTAGATCAAGAGAGCTCTTTAGACCTTCTTCTTTTGAGCTCATTACGTGTTAGAATCTATCCACTCATTGTTATTTGTGAGTGAAATTGAAAATAATAAGAAAGGGGGTTTCAATAATAATTACACTAGTCTCCCTCTGGTGCTATTATTGGGTATTATTAGTCGAGGTGCCCTGTGAAAAGCCACATAGATACATACTTTAATTCTGGGTTTGTGGGGGCATATGGGGCAAAAGTTGGGATGAGAGACACACTCACTCTTGGTCCCAGGGTTCCAGAGTCTCCTTTGTCTCCACGGTCACCCTTTCACCAGTGAAGAGAAAAAACCTAATTAATAGGAGAGCCAGCAGTCTAGAAATATCTCAGATCTAAGGATGTATTTAATACCATACAGCAACAACCTTATTACAAACTTCTGAAGTACAAAATCACAACTAGAAGAACAATAACCACCTACATGGCAAATGCTTCGTTAAGATACGTCTTGTAGTGAATTAAAATTCCCCTTTCAGTTAAGAGTGTATCTTGGAACAACAATGTATATGTTAGCTCTTTCACTAGGGATCTTCAAAAGCAAAGCAAGTGGTTTCCATGACAGCCAATGTGCAATGTTTCCCCTCAGACTGAGCTATGTTTGCCTTTATATGAAACCTGGGACAAAGGTAAAAAGAGCCAACCACTTGGTTTTCTTTCCTCTGAGAGGTAATGTGTAAATAATTGAGACAGGAAAGGGATGGAGAGCTCATTCTGGGAGAATCAGAAGGAAAGGTCATCAGCTAGGCCTTCCTCTGATGATGGAGATTAGAGATTTGAGGCAGCGTTTTCCTGTGGGTACAGGCATTTTAACACAGAAGGTGCTGAAGTGGACAGCAGCTAGCTGGGACTGGTGGGCAGGGCTGAAGGTCAGGGGCAGGGCAAACTCAGCTCTCTCATTTTTTTTTTTTTTTTTTTTAATGCTAAATGAAAAATCACTGAAGTTCCACTTATGGCGTTATTACCCCACCTGCAGAGACACAAGGAATAATCCAAGTCTCAGACTACATCCACACTCAAAATTCTCAGAAGTCTAAACAGAAACACTGGAGAAGAGATCTGGACCTGTGTACATTTGAAGGTTCTTTAAAACAACCTTAAATTTATTGAGACCTTTGTCTAAATGGAATTCAAAGCATTTTGATATATCTTTTTATAAGTTCCTATAAACTGAGTAAGGACCAATGAAGAGAAACAAGAAAAGGGATTATAATTTTTATCCATCCACATTGACTCATAATAATTAAACTGGGAGAACAGAGAATAATTTCTGCTCTGTTTTCTTTATTTCTGCACCAATTTCCCATATTGTTAGCTAATAGCATTTTAAATAACATGATTCTGCTAACAATGTATAGATAACTAAAAATATTATAAAGAACATGGTTCAAAAAATAATTTCAATTAGTGGTGAAATTTTAAGGCAATGAAAGGAGTCAACTAAGTTAAAAGCACAGTAGCCCTGGATGGGTGGCTAAATTGTTTGTGATGTCATCCTATACATCAAAAAGTTGTGGGTCCGATTCCCCATCAGGGTACACAACTAGGCTGCAGGTTAAATCCCTGGTTTGGGTACATATAGGAGGCAAATGATCTATGTTTCTCTTACATCGATGTCTGTCTCTCTCTCTCTCTCTCTCTCTCTCTCTCTCTCTCTCTCTCTCTCTCTCTTCTCTCTCTTTCTCCTTCCTCTCTCTAAACATACCCTAGGGTGAGGATATTTTTTAAAAAAGCAAAGTACAATTAGAATATTTATTACAAAGATAACCAGTAAATGAAAAATAAGATTTATATCATACATAAGTTAAATTAAGTACAGTACTTAATTTTTTCCAAAGAAACTATTCTATTGTATGAGTCAGGAAATAAAACTTCCCTTAAAGAAGTCTCCTTTAGTGTTTAGTCATAAACACAAAAACAAACCAATTATTCTGAAATATCTTCATAAGGATGAAATTACTGGAAGAATTTAATTAAAAACATGATTTTATGTGGAAGAGGCCAAAAGCACAGCTCTTGAAGGCCACATGTAACATTAAAATGATTGTCTGGTTACTGACCTTTGACCCCTTTGGGCCTCTAGCTCCTGATTCACCTTGTTTCCCCTATTATAGGAGAATATGAAGATGAAAAAAGAAAAGAGACAGAGTAGTAAGAACAGAGAAGAGAAATGATCAGTGACATATAAATGGAAACACTTTATTTTAACTGCCATACTCTATGGCTCTGTGTAATGTTGGCTATTAAAACACTAAAGGTAAGAATTATCACAGTATCACTGGTTCATCCCCTGGTCTCCCCGGCAACCTTCAATCCAACATAACTTCCCACCAGTGGCAGGGAAGAGCCCTGTGAATGATTCTCATTAGTCTCAATAGTGTTAGCATAAATTTCCTTTTCATCAAAGAATAAATCATTTCCTGTGTATCTAGGCTGGGTTATTAAAATAAAGTGTTACCATATTAGTTTGCAGGAAGTTTAGAGGAATAAAGACTGAACAGTCAAATAAATTTCAAGGTGTTATCATCAAGTTACCATCAAAGCTAAATACAACACATGTCAACATGTTCTCATATGTTTCAATACCCATTGAGTGGGAATGTGTTAACGACAGTAATTCCCCTTCACATTTGGATGTGTTACTACTTTTGTTCATTGAAAAGAGAAAATTAGGAAAGTTAAATTGTAAAATTCCTTTTCTTTAAAAGAACCAATTGGTGTGTATTTCAATAAGTTATTTGTGCATTTCAATAAAATAATATTTGTTGAGGAATTTTAAATTTTAGTTTATGTTCTAAATCAAGAGGCACACATTTCCAAATCAAAGAACGTTATTTTCCAACGTAAGAATAACTGACCTTTGGTCCAGGAGTTCCAGGCTCCCCTCGCTCACCTCTTCCGGGAGGCCCTGCCTCCCCTCGCTCACCCTGTCACAAAATGCAAAACCATAAATGGCAACTCTTCTCTCTCTTCCCCTACCCCCAGCTGGTACTTGTAGATTAGTAAGTAAGTTGAATAAAATTAAAGAAAGCATATAATTGCCATTTATTTATCATGTACCCAGCACTGTATTAATCACAGCATGAATTACCTAATTTAATCAAACGATTGTTCAACCCACTGTATTATCACTTCCATTTGGTAGATAAGGACATGAATTGGTACATGCCTGTCAGACACCTACGTTAGTAAATGGAAGACCTCAAAAGGGACCAGATAAGGACCACGATGATATCTCAAGTCAGGAACAGACACACAGTTTTCATTCTGTGGCCACTTTCTCACTACTACGGGGATGCAGCATGGCAAAGTGGTTAAGGCTTTGTAATGGCCATAACTCATCACTTCATAGTGGCCAGGCTTCTTGTAATCCCACATTCTGGGCCTGTTATTTATCAGTTCTGGGTTTTAAAGCAAGTTAGTTAAGTCCCCAAAGCCTCAGTTTCCTCTGTAAAATACGGAAAATCATAGCACTGATCTCATAACTTATAAATGTAGTACACGACACATAGGCATAACCGCTTCACTTTCTCCACAGCTCTGTGAGGTATGAATATGGCCATTGCCCCCAAGGAGCCAGTGATGTGCCTAGACAAGGTCCACATAACAAAACAGTCAAGAATTCACGGGTAGCATAAGGCCATACATGAGAGAAAAAGAAACCCATGGGGTTTTTAATGGTCCAGACTGGCCCCCTGGGGGTGGGACTCCAGTCATGTCCTGAAGGATGAGTAAGCTGTTATTTTATAAGTATCGCTGTTATGACTATGCCCTGAATGAGTGCAGGAACTGCACAAAACACTTTACGTGCATTATCCTATGCAATCCACAGGGCAGATGAGAAAGGTGTTCACATTCACAGTCTTACAGAGGGGGCAACTGAAGCTCAGAGAGGGTAAGTTACTTTCTCAAAGTCACAAAGCTTTCAAAAGGAAGAGCTGTAATTTAAAACTGTGCTCAACCTTCAGCTTCTGTAGAAATATTTTTGTATGCGATCCTTTGAATATCTCTAGTCATTTTCTAAGGAAAAAAAATGTAGCTGGGGAATTGCTGTGTCAAAAAGTATGAACATAGGAGAAGTTTGCCCAGTCACCCTCCAGGGAGACGCCGCCGTTTTATACTCCCCGAGTGCAGAAGGCTGGCTTCCCGCATGATGGGCAGCATTCAGTACTCCAACAGGCTTTGAATTAGCTGGGCGATACAGGGCTTTCCATTCCAAGACCTTAATCTGTATCAGTGCCTCTGTGGGAAGCTGTTACGGTGAGGGGGGATGGAGTAGTGCAAGGATGAAAGAAGTTCAGGCAGTTGCTCAGCATGACCCAATGAGAGTGGGCCAGTGGAGAAGGCGGGAGAAAGCAGGGAGGTGAAGGATGCAGCAGACGAAAAAGATGCTCCGAGAGCTCTCCCAGGGTCAGAGACTGAAGCGCTTCGGGTAATATATGGAATTTTTATTTTAAAAAAGCACCATATTTGGCATTTCTCTTAATATTTTACAGAAGAATGCCAAAATAGTAACTGTAGCTCGTTTTAGGGCAAAACAGAAACCTTAGATAATCATGTATCTGTTACATACCCTAAGAGTGGAGTGGCTGTATCTTTACCTAGAATCACTTTAAAAGATTGACAATGCCCTTAATTGTTATTTGTCACTTTTTGGGATTATATTATTTATGTGTTCGACTTCTTTCTCTCCTCCCACCCTTCCTCACACATCCTGGAAGGTAAGCTTCAGGAGAGTAGAGACCATTTTTGCTGCATTTAGTTTTCATTCTCAGACACTAAAAAATGAAGTCTGGCAAAATGTTGTTGAATTAACAAATAAACAGTATCACTCTAAGTATTCTAAATTATTGCCCAAACCGGTTTGGCTCAGTGGTAGAGCATCGGTCTGCGGACGGAAAGGTCCCAGGTTCGATTCCGGTCAGGGGCATGTACCTTGGTTGTGGGCACATCCCCAGTAGGGGGTGTGCAAGAGGCAGCTGGTCGATGTTTCTCTTTCATCGACGTTTCTAGCTCTCTATCTCTCTCCCTTCCTCTCTGTAAAAAAAAAAAAAATCAATAAAATATATTTTTAAAAAAGTATTCTAAATTATTGAGAATAGCACTCCATTTCTTTAGACTGCTGTAGGTCTCTCCCAGGACTGACGCAGATGCTGGGGACACAGCAATGCATAAACAGATTTTTAAGTGCCATCACAGAGCTTCTCTCATTATGATTTCTCTTCACGGTGTTGAGGGTAAAACACAGATTAATTTATATTTTTAATCTGAATCGAGTGGGACAAACCAGATTACCCAAACAACTGGGGGGGAAAAAAACTAGTGTTTGGCTGGAGGAAATTTTTTAATAATCATGGCTTCTCCGTCACGATACCAAATTCATGTATGATAGGCAATTTAACGGAAAAATAAACTTCACACTATTTCTAATAAAATGAATATCCTATCTACATCCTTTCTTGTAGAAATACAAAACAGGTACAGAACATTCTTCATTTTTATGGGGAGTTCAGAGTAGTATCTGTGCTAACATTATCTGGTCTGTAAAATCAGCCTGGGCTCCTCACGAGTAGTAATTAATGGGATTTTATGGCCCCCGCATCTGGATCTTTTTGGAAACTGTGCAATAGCTTTAAGGTTGGTGAACTAAAGAAGAGATATTTAGGGCTGAACTTCCCTCTCTACAGCCCATGTTTCTTCTATATTTCCTTGCTTAGCAAACCAAATGCCACCGACATTTAGAGATGAGTTAGCTCCAGCCTGGTTCTCTGAAGCACCAACCAGGCAGAGATTTGAGCCTATAACCAGACTGCCTTCCTTCTCTGAAGCTCAAGCCTGAATACATACACCGGCTCTTATATGAACACAGAATGCTCAGTTCTCGTTCTGTCTGTGTATCTCTCTCTCTTCAGTTCTCATTCTCTCTCCCCCCCGCGCCTCCCCCCCAAAAAAAATCCCCTCCGGAAAGTGTGTTTCTGTGTGAGTCTGTTCAGGCTAAAACAGGCATTCCTCATTCCTCATATTTTGTTAATAAGTCTGACAGCTCATTATGTGAAAATGAAATTGCTTGGAAAAACAGCAATTTTACATACATTCGACCCAGTGCCCCTTGGGCCACGCATAGTTTCCGTTTACTGGGATTAGAGTTATTTTCTCTTGAGCAGCGGGAATGAGGATGCCTCTGTCAGAACAGACCACGAATACATTTCTCCGGCTCCCGGAAATCAGCCTGCTTTATTTCTGGCGAATGCAATACACATGGAGGCAAAGGCGGCTATGGGTTAAAAAATAAAAAAATGTAGTTTGATTTCATTTTGCTCCTCCTTTGATTCATGACTCTGTCATGGGTAAAGTTCCTCGGAGCTGTACTTTTTAATGTCTTGCTGGGCAGATAAAAAGAGAACGATAGGCCTGACTGTATCCGCAGCAACATAACTTTTTATTTGGCTGCATATAGGCTGTGCTTTTAGAGCCCTCTCTAGGGTTGCCAAATGGAAGATCACGAGATGGTTTTCATTACAGGATCTTTCTGCAAACGTTATTCAGGATGGATCCTTTTGGGATGAGGCACTTAGGAATCTCTATGACATCAGTACTCCTTGAAATCCAGGGAGTGATGTGGGAATAATAATAATGTTTGATTTACAAGTTTGTCCTAAAATCAGTGATAAGGAGGAGGGGTTAATGAGTTCTATCTCCCCTCCTCAGAATTCCCCCACTTTTCCATATGGCCAGGAAGCTTATAGCACCACATCAATTTAGGAGCAATTTGGGGGACGACTGGAACCACTAAGATATCCCACCTTCCTGTTGTCTTGCCCAAGGCTTTCTAACATTAACTTCCTGTTACTCTATTTAATACGGGGACCCCCATTAGAAGTGTTAGAATGGGTGATAGGCTGCTTTTGTTCTTTATGAGGCAAAAAGATAAGGTCACCCAAATAGCAAAGTTATCCCACATTTCTTTCAACAAATGGACTAAGATTTTATGACAGAAAATTTCAGAAAGGAAGGAAGGGGAAAATGCCACTCACCTTTGTTCCTGGTAAGCCTGGTAAGCCTGGCTCTCCTTGAGGACCAATGAAACCTGGTTCACCCTTTAAAGAGATGGGCATGTGAGATTGTTATCACTGGACAGTAAGTGAGTAAAGTTAGACTGATTTCCTTCTATTGGAATTTTACTCCTTTGATAGCATACAGCTTTCTTGATGAGATTCAGCCACTGAATATAAAATTAAATAGGTTTTGGACAAGAATGCTTTGAGCAAAGATTTAGAAAGTAAATGTGGCAAACCAACCACCCAGATCAATATATATATATATATATATATATATATATATATATATATATATATATATATATATGGCTAAGTGTCCCTCTGACTGGTAGATATAATGGGCACTGACCACTAGGAGGTAGATGCTCAATGCAGGAGCTGCCATGAAGCACATTGGCCATCCTATATAATAAAAGGCTAAAATGAAAATGGTCCCCTCAGGAGTTCGACCGACTGGGGGTTTGACTGCTCACTATGACATATACTGACCATCAGGAGGCAGCAGGAAACAAAAAAAGGCCTCAGCCAGCAGCCAGGGGAAGGAAGGCCCCAATCGGCCCTAATTGCTGGCTAGCCCTAGGGACTCCACCCTTGCATGGATTTTATTCACTGGGCCTCTAGGGTCTCTATAATTTCCTTTCTCATCTGCTGTCCTGTGGTTCTTACCATTTACCAGGTCCAGTTAATAATGTTTGGGTGAGTGTGGGAGGTAGCCTTTAAGATAGGTATAAGCAATCCCACCTCTTGGTATTCATGCCTTTGTGTAATGGCCTCTGCTTGAGTGTAGACTGGAGTTAATGGCATGTCTGATTAACAGAACTTGGCAGAAGTATGGGATATCACTTCTGAGGCTAAGTCATAAAAAGACTATGGCTTCCACCTCCAGGGGGTCTTTCTTGTTCTCTCTCACTTGGATCACTTTCTTTGGGGAAAGCAAGCTGCCATACTGTGAACAGCACTATGGACAGGTCCAAGTGGTGAGGTCAGAGGTCAGCCAATAACCTCATGTATGAGCTTGGGAGGGGATGCTCCAAGCAGGTGAGAGCAGAGCCCTTCCTAACAATTTGACTGCACCCTCATGGGAGACACTGGTCCAGAGGCACCCTGCTGAGCTGTGCACAGATTCCTGTTTCTCCAAAATTGTAAGATAATTGTTCACTGTTTAAAGCCAGTTTTTTGGGGAAAGGGGTAATAATGATTTGCAGCAATAGATACCTGAATGTTAGATGTGGCTAGAGAGGAGATTCAGGAATGTTCAGCATGACACAGAAAACCTCTCTCCTTTCCCTACGTCCATAACCTCTTCTTCACTTAGAGGAACCCCAGTTGTGATATACTAAAAGCTATATTTGGTTTTGTTCCTGGTGCCTGGCACAGAGCTCCTACAACCCTTTGAATTTCCTGAGTGATAAGAGTAAAAGGAGCATCTTTTGTTATCCTTGACAAGCCCCTTTCAAACATACCTTACTAATCTCCAGAGAGGGGAGGAAAGCTGGAGACTGAGTTCAATCACCACTGGCCAATAATTTAAGCCATTATGCCTACAATGGAACCTCCATAAAAACTCTTAAACAAAGGGGACTGGAGAACTGCCAAGCTAGTGATCACATCCCATGCTGGCCAGATGATGCACCCCAACTCCATAGGGATAAGAGGCTCCTATGCTCTAAACCCTTCTGTCCTTACCCCATGTATCTCTTTGTTTGGCTATTCATTTTTATCTTTTACAGTAAACTGTAATATTAAGAATGGCATTTTACTGAGTTCTCTGAGTTGTTCTAGCAAATCATCAAACTAGAGGCAGAATAGGTTGTGAGTACCCTCAAATCTGTAGTTAAGTCAGACGGAAGTCAGGTAACCAGAGGCCCCCATTCCTGTGATTCACGTCTGAAGTGAGGGCAGTCTTGTGGGACTGAGCCCTTCAACCTGAAGAATGTGATGATAACTCTGAGTAGTTAGTGTCACAACAGGATTGAGTTGTAAGACAGTTGGTGTCAGAGAACCAGAGTTGGATAATTGGTGTTGGAAAAGACACTACATATTTGGTGTCATATTTTCTTGACTAGCCATAAATTTTATTTTCTTTTTAAAAATGTGAGTTCAAATGTAAGATAGTCTAACTAACTAAAATTAATAATAAAGTTTTAAAGTAAAAAATGTAATGGCTCTGTTCCCATATTTCTTTCTCCTCCCTCTTTTCCCCAACCCCACAATGAATTATTTCTGGAGCAGTTGTTAATGTTGATGCCCCCCCTTTTTTTTTCTAAGGTAATGGTATTTCAACATTTGTTTTTTGTTACTTGGAGTTGCATTTTAAAAATACACTATATAAAATCTTGGGTCTTGGGCAAGCAACAAACTGATGTAACCATCACAAATGTATCAGACTGGCATATAACTCAAATTGACTTATCTCTGGCTCTGATGTGCCTGGTACTGGTTTAAGAACAAAACAAGGTGGAGGAGAACGAATAAGTTCATTTTTTTGGTGAAATTTCTATAACTCTATTCTACCTGTTTCTATACCCTTACACACATTCGAAAGGAGAATCTGAACAAAAAATTTTGGGTGGATCTCTTAATTGACTAAAATGAAAATCAACTATATTCAGAGAAATCATGATGACTATTCTACTTCTTGTAGGAGTTTAACTTGTTACTTTAAACAAACAAAAAATATCATATGGAATACATTTATTTACAAGTAAAATATTTCTCCCAATAAAATGATATACATATAAACATTCCTTCTCCACCCTCAAGAAATAATGTTGTATTAAAGTCAATGTGAATCATTAGGAATGACTTACTGGCATGGAAACATAATGCAAGTTAATAGGTTGAAAGTTTACATGTAGGCAAGACTCTTGCAATATCTTCAAGTAGAAATAAAATGATCTCACTGTTTAGCAAAGCAATAGAAGCACCATTAAAGCATACTAATAAAAGAGAAGGAAAAAAAAGCAAATGTTGCAAAAATGTATTTCTTATTCATGTTAGTGCTTAGTTTATAAAAAGATGAAACATGCAGTTTCATAGTTCACAAATAAACAAATAAAGCTTTGTGATCTCAATGACCAGATTAAAGTGGCCCTTTCTTTGTTTTTAGAAAATAGAATATATTTTATCCCAAGTAAATATATAAAAAATTCCTTTAAACAGAATGGTCAAGGGAAAAATTTAAGAATCCATATCCATATTCTTATTTATTTCAATGTACTCACGGCGAAGATAGCATATTTAACTTTAGGACCACAGGCATATTTTTATTCAATCTCAGAGCTTCAGTGACTTCAGAGACAGCTCCATCCTCTTATGGGAAGGAAATAATCATTGGCTTCTTCTTTGTCTCAGGTTTGAAGGATAATTATTGAAGTAAATAAGGCATACATATGTCTACTCATGATTCAACTGGTTGGACTATTTTTTTTTTTTTTTTTTTTTTTTTTTGCTTTTCAAAGCTTATAGCAGAACCTTTTAACTTACTCTTATTAGTGTACAGAGTAGGAAAAAAATCATTGATACATTTCAGACTCCACATGTCACCTAAACTTTAAGAAACTACCACTTGTAGAGTTTGGGTTAGTATCAAAGAAGAATACTCGTAATTTTATGAAAAGGCTTTATTAAAATAATCTTTCCTTGTCCATTTACCTATCTGCATATGGCTGGTTCTCCTTTAAATACTTCACCAAAACAACAAATTGCAACAGATAGAATGCAGAAGCACATATGAGAATCCAGCTATTTTCTATTAAGCCAGACATTAAAGAGATTTGCAAAAAAAATAAAAAAGTTACTTTTCTTCCCCCCCCCCCCTTGTTTTTTTTTTTTAAGATTCAGTTATCTTTCATTAAACACATACCCAGTTTTAATTAACACATAATCAGTTTTTTTTTAATTTTGGGGTTTTAATTTCTAGTACAGAAATATCAATGGATAGAACCTACATAAACAAAAACTCTTTTAATTCTACTCTGTAAGTGTGTAAAGGGGTTTTGAGTCCAAAGTGTTTGAGGACTAGTGGTACAAAGTCCAAGACTGGATTAAAGCCTGATTTTATAAACTGGAATCTTGACCTGCCATATAATGGAAGATTCTGGCATCATTACTGGTGGTTTAGTTAAGACTTATTATAAAGATAATGTAATAAAAGCCTTTAGTGCTATCTCTATAATGAGGTTAAGTGGACAATAACTGTTTATTACTATTGTTGTCCTTATTATTGGCTCAACAATTTGGCTATCATTATTATTAGTAGTAATTGTAATAGAAGTCTTATAGCTCCCAGACTAATTGGTGATAGACAAGGTGAACTTTTTATTTTTTATTTTTTAACCTGGATGGGGCTGTACTCAATACCTCTCCAACTTCTTTCAAGAAGTAACTCTAAATTTTCTCATGTGATCATATCATTTTATCCATTTTTTAGAGCATTTAGGATTGCAAAACCCAAAGTGGGTAAGGTAGAAACGTGACAGATTTACTATGAGTGAGTTTTCATCTTGTAAGAAAAAGAAGGAAGAAAATGGTCATACCTATTGAATTTCCCTAAACAACTGTAATCCTTTAAAAAAAAAAAAAGTCTTGCCTCTTTGACTGATGATTAGAGCATTTGATTAAAGGCTCTAGAATCTCCTAAAAAGCCTAGTAGAGAGGCTATGCCAATCTACTTTAATGTGATAGATAAGCAAATGACTATTCTACTGTAGTCACATGCCAGTTAACCAGTATAGAGGAATGAACCTGCATCAGGGGAAGGCAGGGAAAGCAGCTGAAATGTGATTCAAACTCAAAAAAGTTTGAGGAAATGACTCTGGAGTAAAGCAGATTGCACAAAAATGAGGTTAGGTTATGTAAGTATTCAGGGCAATAAACAGGGGGAGTAACTAATTATATTGGACTATAAAGTGATTCTCAGACTTGTTTGCATATCTAATCTCATTTGGACAGTGGGAAATAGGAGACTGCTAAATTGGAAATTATTCACACATATTTGTCCAAGTAGACAGGTGGGAGTGAGATGCAACAGAGGAAAC